CTATTGTGAAGTCCACACACATCTTCTCGATGTGAGAGGCAGAAGTTCCTCCAGGGTGCTCATTTGTGCATGGTAACCTTTTCACTTCACTTATCCTCGCCGAGGAAATGACCGAACAAGGTTTCGGGATTCTTGAGACACTGATTTCTGCATGATGTGCCATAATATGTGTATGTATCTTAAGCAGTTCTGAATATACTTATAACAATGCCTTGTTATTATAGGTCATGCGTGTTATTGTTACTCTCATTTTAAATGTGTGTAAAAGGGGCAAATTAAAGTTCCAAAGCGATGTAGTTTCTCACTGGTAACCACTGCTGCTGAGTGTAAAACCTACACTTTCACTAACAATACCAACATAAATAAAAAAATAAAAAATCTAATATGTGTTAGAGAATTTTAAGGATTTAATGAATGCACTTATTTTGCAAAGGAAAATGTAGAATTAAATGTGTAAATCAGACAGTGTTTCTACTCAGGTTGCCAGGCAGTAATATCACAGTATTAAAACTATAGTTTTAATACTGTGATAGATGGTAATCCTTTATTTTTCAAGTCATGAAAGGCATTATTTTTTGTGACTCAATAGTTGATTATTTTTTTTTCCTTGTGGGAACGGAAAACATGTAGTAGCCATCTCTTGGCACTCGTATGGGTAAGTATAACACTTCTGCTGTGCCTCAAGTAGCTCGTAATATACTGATAGCAAGCCCATCTCTATTGAGTATATTAACTTACTAACTTCATATGAACATATACAGCTATGGCTTTCGCCTTTTACAGGTTTCTGACAGATTCTTTCTTGTATAATATTTTTTTTCTTGTATTTTGAAAAACAAAAAAACCAATAGTGTGTGTTATGTGACTACTAGTATTGTTGCCTTTAATTGTGTTTGAGACAATTAACAAGCAAAATCTAGGAACTCAAATCTTTGACCTCAACTCAGATGAAAAACTTCAAATGATCTCAGTTCTTCTTGGATCCTCAGGAATCTCCAATAAAAGACATGCAAAGCTCTACAGAACTTTTCATAAAACAAATACACAAACATTGAAGAAAAACAGTGAAGTTTCTCTTCTGATTTTTTTTAATTAAAGCCCTACTAAGGTGTGAGATTTAAAATTAAGAGCGTGAATTCACCTTTTTAGATTTAGATAACGACTTACTTTTGATGTTTTAACAAGCTCAAAATCTGAGATGTTTAATTGATAGTAATATTTAAAATGGTTGGCTATTTAGGCTGAAAATGTTTTGTGGATACTAAGCATTTGATGAATATGACAGCTTGATATTTATAATTTAGTCTGTATGCTTTCATAAATTCCACATAAATGTGTGATCAACCTGTTGACATGACGATAGTGCCCCACGTTGTGGGTGTTGGAAACCAAAAACTCCTTAATGCATTATTAAAAAAGCGGATCTACTCTCACAAAAGAATAGCAAATTACCACGTCTGGGTGAACAGGGTGTATTATGTAAAATGAGTTGGATTGTATTGCTTTTTGCTGTATATACTGATGGAAAAGAAACATATAGTTGGAATAAGGACCATAAAGCAATATTTGTGATCATCTAAATAGATCACATGGAGTGCTTTGATTCACCAGGACAAAACTTCTGCTCTCAGCCCCTGTGATCACATCTGTTCAGGGAAGATCATGGAGTGAAGACGCTGTCTCAGGTTGTCTCATCCCTTGATGTCCACCCCAGCGAGAAACTGTGTGCTGTGTTGCTGCACCACAGCTGAAGACTTGACCAATTCCTGCTAGGGACCAGATGTTCAGTCGGGATCCTCTTCAGGAATGTGCCAGCACTTCACAGCTGCACACCCAGAGGCTCAGTGGTTCCACGAGGTGCTGAGCAGAGAACAGGTTGTCCCTTTGGTTATGATACACTGCAGAACAACTGGTGTTGTGGGGAACGTTTTCTTTTTGCCATCAGTATATATCAAGACTCAGCCAATGCTGCAAGAATATTAGGATCCAAGGCAGGACCCTGATATTATTAATCCATTTATTTTGCAAAGGGATTGAAACAGAAAGGCATACACAGCCCTCCACTCCCATCAAATATTAAATAGATGTGCAATTCGGGCAATTAGATCAGCTGACTGTACAAGGATCAACAGTAGGTACCTCAGTACCAACTTGAATTTCAGGAGTGATCATTTAAAAAAAAAAATCTCAAAAGCTGACCATGGTAAAAAGAAAAAAAATCTCAAAAAAACTTCAGAAAAAGTAGTTTGCAGCATTCCATGTGGATATGTAAGAAATGTGTATGCTGTCATCTAATTTGAATCGAAAATACTCAAAGTACTTTGACACTGCTAACATTCCAGTATTCACGTCATCACTTGAGAGCAAAGTTGGCTTATTGTCATCCAACTTCAGTTTTGGAGAGATATTCTTTTATCTCCCCACGAGGAGATAAAAATGGTGCTGTGCTCCAGCGGAGGCTTGAATGTATAAACGAACTGTTACTCATTCCTGAGGCTAAGCAGGAGGACAGCCTTTCACTGATGCAGACGAATCTTCCCTCCACTGTCACAAAACTCTAATTCGAACGGTGTATACCAGATTTATGTACCATGTGTGGAAACTCTTCCTGCTCGAAAGCAGCTGCCCTGTCAATAGTCAGCCGAAGACTGTCTCCATCCATTTTGAAGAAAGCGAGATGTCTAAGGTTACTGGAAGCGTACACAGCATAATGTGAGATTCTCTGTATCAAGAAAGCTATTTGAAGACGGCGTGAACATGGGGAGTTTTAAAATGCAGAAGCCACATGTATGCAGGGAAGCATCTAATGCAGCAAAAAGCTTCAGTTGTACTCAGATTGTGTTTAAATGTAACCTCAAAATATCACAGGAAAATGTTGCCTGTTGGTGGCATCAGGTTGCTAAACAGAAAATACCTTCTTAAAAATATACTTCATTAAAAGAAGCAACTCTGAAGAAGAACAGAGAATGGCCATCAGTAAATTATATAGCATAAAGAGGGAATTTAAATTGCAGTCTGAAATTAAACGTCATTAACTAAACATTTATTTAACCTTTTGGAAACCGGACAGGAAATGTGCTGCCCTAATACGAAGCCTTAAAATGTAAAATATTTTCCAAAAGCATTTATAGCCCTCAAAACTTTTTATACAACTTGGTTCTTAAAGTTTTTCACACATAAAATCGAAAATGTGTGGCATGAATCTTTAGTCCTCGTGTCAATAATTTGTTGCATATTCTTTTTGTGGTATGTCACAATCATTTTTGAACGCCTAAAAATTACATTTATTTTCCTAATTTTAAAAATAACTCAAACTCAGTCTGACTGGATGGACAAGGTCTGGATTCAAGTCTGGACTTTGACAAATTCATTCAAACACCTGGATGTGTTTTGACCTAAATCGTTCAGTATACATCAGTTATCCTAATTTAATACCCTCACCCCAGTGAAAATGTTTTCCCTCAGCATGATGCTTTCACCACGTTGCACCTCCAAAGTTATGCAAGCTGTTTAAAGCTCTTAGGAAACTGTTTTATAACCTAACCCTGCTTGATATTTCTCCAAAAACTCCATTCCTGGCTTGTTCTTCTGTGTCCTCAAATTAGGGGCCTCCTCTGAACACCAGTATTTCTACTTAGAGTAAATTAAACACAACGGTATATATTGAATAATTAAGTGACTTTTGAATGTAAATGAGTGTACCATTAGGTATATCAGAGTTAAATATATTTGCCTGCCCATACTTTTTGAGATCATTCTTTTTCTATTTTACAATTCTGATCTATTTTTGGTCAGTTTATGGTTGTAAAGCAACAAATATTGAAATGTTTAAAGAATAAAATTCTTCTGCAAGGTGGTATAGACAAGGATAACAATGCTTTAAATCAAGTATTCTTATTTTAGTCTGCTAAAATAGAAAATCATTTGACTTGTTGGATTTGCTCCATTGCAACATACATTTAGTCGTATTATGCATCGTAAGACTGATCATAAATTTTGCAAAATGTATTTTTTGTACTGTAAATATTTACTGTATGTTTAATTTACTTTGAGAGCTTTCCTAAGCTTTTTGTATGAGGAGTGAGCTTCATAAATGCACAAAAACCACAGTCACAAAAAATCCATTTTCATAATCAAGAACTAGGAACATTGCAGCAAATTCTGGCTGAAAGTGTTTAACATGCAGATTGTGTGGATAGATTCGTCCCTAGGGCTTCCAACGAGCCAGCAGAAATGTGTGTCGGGGATCTGACCCGCCCTTTATGTTGTGAGAGCATGATAACTTTTTAAACTGAAAACAAAGCAAGAGCGTAGAAATGTTTCTCATAAAGCAGCCATAGAAATTGATTATTGAGATATTTTAGGAGTAAAAGTGAAACAGTGTCACTGAGGAACGTTTTTGATTGAAACACAGACAGCAGGCTTGAGCAGCCTTCTGCACTTTTCTCCTGAATGAAAGTTAAACATGGGTGCACAATATAAAGATTAAATGTAAAATCCTATTGCAACACTTTAGGAAAAGATCTTGATAGTTTTACTGGTCGTACAATGAGCAATGCTTCCCCCATTCCCAAAAAAGTTGTTTCCAACATGTGAGGGTTTTGTTCATTGTTCAATGATCCTTCAAAGTTGAGATTTATGGAGAGCTTAGGAGTTTAAAAGTGAAATGAAGTTGTATCAGCACAGAAATTCAGCAAAATTCACACCTGAGACCCAGGCGTTTTGTTTTAGGGATTACCTAATGCGATGCATTAAGACGCTTTCAACACAACATTTTTGGTATTTAAATCCAAGAGCAACAATGAAATTGAACATACTTACCCAGAGCTGACCCCTGCTACTTGTCAGTCATCCATGAGAGTAAATGTGTATGTACAGGGAGTGTGTGTTTGTTTTCTGTAGCCATTTAAAGGGAAGGACAGCTCTACAGTATCTGAGGAGGTGCTTTGTGCATGGTGAATAAACTACCTGAATGTGTACGAGTACAGAGTGGTACATACACGTGGTGTTTAGGTTAGATGATGGTATGGAAGTGGACTGAACATCTGTGAGATTGGGGTCACAGGTTTTAGGAGAAGCGGACGGCTCCTCCTGCTCTGCCTGATCTTCCTCCGCCCCCACTTCATCAGCACCTTCCACAGCTTTTCTTGCCAACCTCTTAGAAGTTCGACACAAGATTTCAGCCTGAATGGAACATTTTAAAACATATTAGCATCTAAGAGCTCACCCATTATCTACAAAACAACGCTTTCTTAACTCTAAAACGCTTCACTTAGTCTAGGTGTTTACTCACCTTTGCAGCAGATTTTCTCTGAGGTCGTCCTTTGGATTTAGGCACCTTAGGGCTGGAAAGAGTCTTCATGGTGATGGCAGCATGCTGAAGGATGCAGTCGGTGCCACAATAAACAGAGTCCGGTAGCGCCGGTTTTGCGCAGCCAGGTCCAGTGCAGAGAGGGAACGAATCATCTGCCTCCATCTCACACTGAGGGTCAGCTTCAACTTCAGCTTTTGTTTCCACCTCAGCTTCAACTTCTGTTTCCACTTCAGCTTTTGTTTCTCCCTCAGGTTCAACTTCAGCCTTTTTACTGGTTTCTCCCTCAGGCTGAACTTCAGCTTTTGTTTCCCCCTCAGGTTCAGCTTCAACTTGAGGCTTTATCACAAGAGCCTCACTCTCTTCTTCTTCCTCCTTCTCCTCTACTAAAACAGCCTCCTAAACACAGATCACCAACTTAAATGCAGACTCATTCAAATTTGTTATACTTATGCTAAATCTTAAAATAAACCAGAGCAAAATTCATTTTCATTCAACTTCACTCTGGACCTTTTGTTGAATGGATAATAATCCAAACTAAATTCAAACCTTGACAACTTGCTGCTGCTCCTCTTGTGGCTCTGTTTCCACAGCAGGAGGACTCAGCGTCAGACATTCAGGAAAGCTAAGGTCTGGCTCAAGATGAGTCTCGAGGTGGATGATGCTCTGCCTCGTTGTAGTGCAGGTTAAACACGTGTAGTCTCGGTCTCTCTCCTCTAGCTTCCCGTCCTGCATTTCACTTATACCGACACATGCGCTATGAAACCACTCCTGGCAGCTGCTACAGCAGATCATGAACCTGAAAAACGGACATTTTCAGGAAGTGAAACAGGCATAAAAAAACTGGAATGCAAATCTATCAGCTAAGAGACTTTGTTACCTCTTGATGTGCGTTTGGCTGCAGACGAAGCATGTAGCAATGGAGTCCTGTCCCTCACTCTCTGTTATGCTGGGAATCTCTGCTATAGTCTCTCCCTGATTCATGTCTTCCTCTCCTTCCACCTCATTTGGTGCATCATCGAACTGGCCGTGAGTTACGGCGCCACTTTGGTTAAAATCGCTGTCTAGAATTACGCAGCCTGTGCTGACAGACTGCAGCGCAGCATTCAGAGTTATACCAAAGTGTGCAGCTGTTGATTCCATCTCAGGAGGGATCTGTGGGTCGTTCTTGATGCCATCTTTGGGTAAATCCTGCTGCTCGTCTGCATTAACAAACACCACTTCATCGTCTGTGTCTTCGTTGACTACAATGACGGACTGAAGCACCGCTGCCCTCCCTCGGCCTCTTCCCTTACCTTTCCCCCTTCCTCTGCCTCTTCCCCTGCCTCTCCCTCTGCCCCTGGCTTTTCTTCTTCCACCATTCCCACCTTGAGCTTTTGAGTCTCCCTGCCTGCTGCTTCTGGCCAGCTGCTCTTTAATTTGCATCAGAGTCTTTTCATCACTGTCCTCTTCCTGACTGGAGATCAAAACAACATAATTGCTCTCTCTTTCTTCAACATTGGTAGGAGCAAAAGGCTGTGTGACTTCCATGCCATCCGGGTTATCAGGGGTCTCGTTTTCTTCTACAGGCTGTGGATCAGTGGGCTCAGTTTCATTAGCAGGCTCAAAGTAACTAGGAACTGCCAGGGCATCTGTCAAAGAGAGGCCTTCGTTGCCACCAAGCAAGGAGAACGCTGTGTGGAAAGCAGATCCAAAGTCCTGCCATAAGTTGGGATCAAAGCTCCCTCCAGCAGAGGTCTCTGGTGGCTCCTTGCTGTCCTCTGACGCAGGGGAGGAAGGAGCAGACCACTGCAGGTCCTCTATCACACTCCTAGCTGTTCGAGTTTTCTGCTTGGTGTCTTCTTCTGTGTTCATTTCTGGCGCCTGGTTGGTTCTTCGGCTTCTGCCCCTTCGAAGCGGCGGGGGGTTGTGGGTCAGGTCTCCGACCTCCTCCATAAACTCCCGTTTAGCAAAGGTTGTCCTTCTGAAGCCCCAGGACTTTTTAACCTGCGACAAGGACGGCCTGGCACCGGAGTCCACCCCGCCTGATTGGCTCTGTTCATCTACAGGGAAAATGAATGATCAAAAATAGAAACAACACCGTGATATTTTAGCCATTTGCTTAAGAAACTTGTCCACGTACCTGATGTACCTGAGTCACCACCGTCATTAACTGCATTGGTCTTTTCTATTAAGTCCATGCTGACATCAGTAGCCAGCAGTCCTGTTCATAAACAATTTAAGTTAAAACAAATTGTGAGATCCATCTCAGTAGCAGCATCAATTTGTATTCACTTCAACAACAGCCCTAAGGCACCGTAAGGCTGGAAAGAGTTCTGTCCTGAAAAAAACTGTTTTTTTTTAATCTACTATCAGGAAATTGTGTTCTAGCAGTCCAATAAATATCTACAAAGAGGATGTAAATTTAGAGTTATTTGGGTCTGGGATCTTACTCTCATATTTCCTGACTTAATTGTGCCGAAAAGGATAAAACTATAAAGACGTTGAAAAAGGCCCTTTTATGAACTTTACAAAAAAGAAAACAAAATAATCAAGCTACATTACTGGCCTGATTTGAGCATTCCTATCAATAAATATTGCTATAAATTATGAAAAATGCTCCTCTACAACATAAATGATGTGATAATAAAGTGAATTGGTATGAAGTAGTTTGTGGCGGTAGGAAGAATTTAATGGCAACACATGCATATGCAAATAAGAAAAATTGACCTGGGCCTGGTTTCCTTTTGGTGCAGTTACTGTGACAAACAGCGTTTTTTAATTATTTAAATAAAATATTAAGGAAACAAGAATGTGAAAGTAATACTTGTGAAAATGATTATTATGAACAAAAAAAATGTTTTAAACAAAATCTACTAACACAAGCCTAATGTTTTTAAGATAGCTTTCCTTTTTCAGGGGAGAAATAATAATAAAAAAAACTGTTCACATCAGATGAAACATGAAGGACAACTGAGCTCTATTTTACAGGGAAGTGATGTTCTTAATTTGCCCCTGCAAAAATATTAGCAAAAGTAAGTAACAGTGTTCTATTTTATCTGGTAAACTTTCAGCTGTAAGTAGGCAAATAATCTGCATGCTGCAGTAATCTGTGCAAGGCTGGCCTTTCAGGTTTAACACCAAATGTGGATTTGGCATAAAAACTACACATAATGATTGATTTTGTAGTCTGTACTTTGAATATACGTTATAACCTCGATGTTAATTAAACGTTTGACCCTTGTGCCTGGACTAGATTTCATGTTTTTTAGCAGAGCAGAAACAGTGAGGTGCTAGTATTTGTTCACACTCCTCAACAACATTGAAATGCATTTTGAACCTCGATAACACTATTTAGACAAGTAGTAATGAAACTAGTCTCAACCAGCGTGAAACCGCAAAAAGAAAACGATTTATCTGCTCTCTCGACAACACAGTGGAGTTATTCCGTTAGGCCACAGGGGAGAATGGCTACTAGTTTAAAGCGTCCGACATTGTTGTCTGTAGCTAACTTAGCTAGCCGTGACGGTGAACTGCTAACAAAGGACTACATTTTGCAGATAACTGTATTTAACAACGCTGTCTGCGAGCACTAGTAGCAGACAAGAATACCATACCTTGAAGTATTTGATACTGTTTTCCAGTAGTTGTTAGATTCGTTCAGCTACCATGCTAGCATGGGATTCCATTTTCTTTGCCCTAGTATTCGGGATCTCGCGAGATTTCACCAGAGGCGGAAGCAGTGTTGACGATGCTTCCATCTCATTGTTGTGAGTGGAAGTTTACCTTGGAAATTGATGTTTGCTAACTTAGTTTTTCGAATAATCTCCAATATTCATGTTCTACTTAGGTTTATATATAGTAAAAAATGTATGCAATGTAATGTCCATTTTATTCGCAATAAAAAATAGCAACGTGACATTATTACTAAAAGAGCAAATCACATTTAAAAAAAATATTTAAAAGCAAATTTCTATAAAATGACCATTTCACCTTGTGAGTTAACCAGCAAGAAGTATTTCTTTATATATATATTTACATGTACATAGGTCTAAAGAGTGAGCCAGCATCATATTAGATCATATGGCTTAAGAATGGTATGCCAGTCAAATTCATATATTTAAAGATAGGTGGACAAATATTTTGGGCAATATCCAGCATCTTCACTGCCAAAACGTCTATTTTTCTTACAGCAGCAGAAGGACTCTCAAGGTAAATCAGCATGTCATACTGCAAACAAAATTTTTTGATATATATAAATGAATCACCAGTTTTAGAAAAAAGTTGTATTTATTGCAGTGAAATGTGGCTCGGTCTTTAACTTTTGAGGTAATTGTTTGTCTACATATGGTTCTCTTCCAAACTACTTCTTGAATTTACTCAGTTTGGTAAGCTGAAAAACATTTACGCTTGACGGGGAAGGGGGGCGGCGGGTAAATACATTTGTACTCCTTTACATTTTCATTCTTCATATTGTAAAACAGAGGAGTGCTGTGTTGTTATAGCATCACATCACCACAGCAGATCCAAATTACCTGAAAATTTGCCATGTAAATTCCTCTCAATTTCCTTTTGTTCTCACAAAAAAAAAATAATAATGCTTTGTAAAATGCAGCAACGGTGATGACAGGCTGCTCAGGCAGCGTCTTTGCTTCTTGGTCTTATCACCAATTTACAATTGGATGATCAATAACTTATATATTTGCAACACTGCAAAAGAAAGAAAATGTGTTTTTATGACCGTTGAGATCAAATAAGCTGAGAAACTTCTTCACAAGTCCATTTATTCTTTTTACAATATGTAAACAGTAACAAGACAGAGCTCAACACAAACATGCTCACAGGAAATATATGGCTGAAAAAGCAAAATATATTTATGTCTACTCAGATGGGCACATTTTTGATTGGATTTACATCTGCTTTGGGTAACTGGCTACACAAAGACTTCACTAGGAGCTGACATTCATGTGAAGAAGTTTCATTTCAAATATCTTTTCTCAACACATAGAAATGTGATTGCAATAAACATACTATAAAAACATGTAACACTATAAATATTGTTCAGGTATCTTCTTACAAAAGCTGTACAGTTTCCATTTTTTAGGCTTTTTAATAAATCAATTTTTTTTTCCATTTTAAATGTGTGGTTATATAACACAGAACTACAATACAAAACTGGTATGAAACCAAAACGCCACCACTGACATGAAGCAAACATGTTGGACTGAAATGTGTTTAAACCTGGACTACTCGACATTAAGCAAGTGTGGCTTAAACCAAAAGAAAAGGAAAAATAAATCAGTCTTAAGTATTTGTGATGGCACCATAATCATTGTGTATAATTGTTGAAGGCTGTTTCAAATGTTTTGTCTCACAATATGGAGAGCGATCAAACAGCAGCAAAGTCCAATGGAGCAGCAACGAAAGACAGACATGAAGAGATCATCCTGTGGGTTGATATAATCCGAGAAACAATGCAAAACTGTAGAATGAAAACATGTCACATCTCGAGACAGACTACTTTCACAGGATTAACTGACTTAAATGCAGATGTGGAAACTGAAAATGACAAGTGAACCGAAAACAGTCCAGTGACCACATATACAAATGGGAATGAAAGAGAGAAAGACAAAAAAAGTGATTTGTCGTCAAGGTGCAGGGCTTGAAGCACCAACTTCGAGGCCACCTGCCTCACATTCAGTCCACTGATGTGTCTGTAGTGTATCAGTTAGGTCACAGTGACACCAGAACTGTCCTTGTTTTTGTCAGTGTAGGTGGGAGAGTTGCTTTTTTCTGATATCGAGCCTGTGGCTGAGGTAACGGACTGCACAGCAGGAGAGTGGCCCGATGGTTTGACCGACGGTTCCGAGCTGGGCTCTGCCTCTGCTTCCTGCTGGGATGCCGTGGCTGGGAAAGAGCAAAAACCAACATGAGAGAGAAGACATTTTTTTACAAACTGACCATGGACAGGCAGAGAGGGTTTCAAATTCGAGATTACAACTCTTGAATTTCAAAAACGTCAGATTTTCCAAATCTGAGAAGAATACATCCTTTTCTGAGACAACAGGTTGCGTTCTCGCTCCCAGTTGAGGAAAACCGCACATACTGCGATAAACTGGCCAAGATGATAAACAAGTCGAATATGCCTATTTCAGATCGGAGCTTCCACAACATTCTACCGACTGGACCCAATCCATCCTAACACACACTCCAGGATAATGGGTGACAATTATTGCAAGTGACAATCTTTGAACGATCAACGTTCAAAGATTGTTGTAAGGGGAAAATCGGGACAATGAATCATGGAATGTGAACTGGGCTTAAGGAAGGATTGAACTATGACATCAGGTAGATGAATATGTCCATCTTCTCTATCTAAATCTAATGATTATTAGATTTACCTCAACTGATGCCTATAAAATATAATCCACTGCAAAAGTCACCTAATCTGTTTTGTACTGACCTCAGGAGTTCATTAGAGAAACACAACTGTAAGTGAGTCAGGAGTAAAGGTGTAGAGAAGTTCAAAGTCGGTTTAAGTTATAAAATAATAAGAAACCTGTGTCACTGCAGAGAAATGATTTTCCATCAATCTGAAGAGCATTAACCACAAATGCAGCTAAGAGATTCGTTGCAACTTTTAAAGAGCTGCAGAGATCCACAGATCTCATTGGTCGACGTACATAACAGAAAAATTCTGGCGGCAGCCTTATGTTGTGGGAATATTTTGCTTCATCAGATGGAAATTTGTGATCGCAATGTGACAAAGGATACGGACACTTTTGCAGACATTAGACATTAACTTTTTGAACAAGCTAAGATTGCTTGAAAGCTGCAGTAGCAACAGATGACACGTTTTAAAGGAGATTGAAAAACAGTAAAATTGCTTAAAACTGAGAGAATTCCTGTTTTACCCGACTGTGTGCAGGACTTCATGTGCTCAGGCCAGTGTGCTTGCTGACAGGGGTAATCACAGTAGCTGGTATTCCAGCAGCAGTAGAAGATGGCCTCCTTCCTGCAGTTGGCGCACCACTGTTTCTTTTTGGTTTCGTCCACCGCCTGCTGCTTCTCCAGCTCCATCTGTTTTTTCACCTCAGCAACCAAACGTTCCCGTTCCTGCTCAAGACTCTGCCTCATCTCAGCCATCGTCAGCTCTGCGTTCAAGTGGTAAGTTCAATATGAAACCATTTTATTTTCCATGTCTTAGAAAATACAAGGGAATCACATGATATCCATGCAGCCCTGGAAGCAAAAACCTACCCAGATTATGCTTCATCTCCGATAACTCCTGCTGATGAAGCCACTGGAGTTTTTCAATCTCTATCCTCAGCCGTCGAATCTGTAGCAAAAAAATAAAAACGATCAAGAAGTCAGTGGTGGTTAAAATTATTCCTGTTTAAGTAGGAAGAAGCAAATAATCTTTTGTTTTTAAAAGTCTTCAAAGCGCATTGGTAAAACATTTATTTTATAAAAACACAGAAGCAGTCATTAAACAAAACTGTTACACCCTAGAATTAACTGAGGCGCAGAAATACACTGAAACCATGTTCTTCTAAATTACGTAATCCAGCTGGGACATGTGGTCTTCTTTTCTTTACTACATTGCTTCGCTTATTTGATGACATTTACTGGCATTCATTCCTGCTATGGTCCCACCACAGACTTTAAGATTTTGGACTTTGACTGGGTCACTTCAACAACTCAGAATTAACTTAATCACTCATTTTTATCTGCCATGTTTTTACATATCCTGGCAAGATTTTGATAAATATATATATATATATATAAAACTCTTAATGTTTTCACTCTAGAAATACTTTCATATACAGAAGAGTTCATCATCGTTGAGACAGTGACAGACAGATGTACTTCTTGTCTTTCAGTTCATAAAATCCCAGTTTCAAAACCCAACAAGTATTTTTATTGTTTTGGTGGAATTAGTGGTTTTCGGGAGCAGAGAAGGAAGAATAAACTACATATTTTCTTCCCACCACTAAACACACAAGACCTCAGAGTTGCTTTTTTATTACTACAAGTTTCTTAAACAACTTTCAAAGAGGCATCAATATGAGAGGGAGGGATTACCTCAGCAATCGTGTTTCCTGATGTACTTTTAGAGAGATCGTTGTAAATTTCAGTCATTGTCCCTTTTATTGTGTCCATAATCTGCGAGAAAAATAATAAAGTTATACATTTTAAATACTTGCAAAGCAAATCCAGAGAACAGAGCAGAAACCTTATTTAGGTTTTAATATTTGTCTGTAAATATTAGAAAATGCATGTGAGGGATTCTAAACCGTGTATTAGAAGTATTGCTAATGGAAATTGCGACTTACTTTGTTGGTGTATTTGGCAATATCTGCTGCTACATCTGCTGAAACTGTGGGGATCTGCAAGTCTGCTGACACCAGAGACGACGCAGCAGATGTGATCTGTCCCGCTGTTGACGATGAGCTTTGAGCTGGATCTTTTTGTTGCACTACAGTTGATAAAGATTGAGAAATATTCAGAGAAATTAAACAACCTCAAATAGTTATTTAAGTTTTTTTGGTGCATAATCCCAGTGGTGTTTTTATATTACCTTTAGCGGCTTGTCTAGTCTGATAGCGAGTGCTGGAGGAGTTCTGCTGTGACTGCAGCTGGCTGCGCGTCTGACTCTGACCCTGCGTCTGGACACCCGACTGCTCCTCGTTCTGCTGCCTCTGGAGCTTCTGCACTTGCCATTTTTGCGACGACGTCTGTAACTTGGTGGGATTCCAAACCACCGCCTGCTGAACATGCTGAGCCGACTCTTTAGGAAGAAGCGGCCGCTGTTTTTTTACAGTTGTGGGTGCTGTGGATGTCGTGGAGCCAGAAGGTGGCGCAGTGGTAGATCCACTGGTGGTTGTGGAGGCGCTGGGCTGACCAGATGCTGCACTGGAAACAAGGTTGAGTGCTGCTGTGATGGACGGCTGCAGAGAGTCCTTCAGGTTGGAGGCAGCTTCTTGTGTCGGTGTAGCTGACGCAGCAGATGAAGACAGCTTACCTACACAAAAAACAAGAAAGAATAACTAGGACTGCTTAATAATTCACCGCACAGTCTGGATTTATAAAATCAGCATTTTAAACCCAAAGGATGTGGAAAAGCATCACAATTAAACCCTATTTGTAGAATGTAAGATGTATATTTTGCTTTTAATTGAGGGAGAAAGAGATCATTTTAAAAAGGAACCAAAGAGTGAGTTTGAAGTCAAACTGTTCCATTAACCTGGTTTGGTTTAATACTCAACAATAAATATTTTATGCAAATTTATGATGCAGACAGGCAACATCTGTGGAAGAAAATTACACTTTCCTGTTTTTCCTCCAGAGTTTAATCACAGGATTTGAGTCTTCTTCCAGCTTTCTCCACGTTCTGCCAAATCTAAGACTATTCTGATTTAAAAGCTAAGACCCAAGTGGAGTATGAAAAATGATGATGTCTGGCATTATAGCAAGCTTCACAAACTTCAATGTATTCCTTCTGTCCGTTGTTTTATTTAAGCCAGTTACTGTCGACAGAATTCAGCCAGCAATTAAAATTCCAGTTTTAAGCCAAACCACGATAAAAAAAACAATCATGCCCATAAGCTGATTGTAAATAATGAAACTTTAAACTGCTTAAACGTGGACTAAGACAGCTCAGGAGCAATATTCCTCTGCAGGTTTATTGCAGAGGCTGAATGACTGAGGTGAAACATTCAACAGACTTTGTTGCATCTGTGCATCATGAGGTTTGTTGCTTTGGCACAGTGTAATGATTACTAAACTAAGACTAAAAACTCCAGACTTTCACAACAAATTAAATTAAATTTTGAAAACTATAGGAAAATAGGAAAAGTTGCTTATACATTAGGATTTTGGCTAAAATGTTTCGTCTTAAAAACAGAAAATGGTTTCCATTTTCATTAATGTTTTAAACTAAATAAGATCTGCCATGTTAAGAAAAACTATGGAAATCATTCGCTTCTTGCTATCATACAAGTGCAAAAAAAAAGAAAAACTTGTATGATCAACATCTTTTTGCAAATTTCTTTCTCCCCATATTTCTCCTAAACTGATGAAGTAATAAAGCTGTTTTTATACATTTCAACAAAATAAAAACCAATGCACAAATAAAATCAGCTGAAAGATAGAACAGAACTTGGCTCTGAGGAAATCAAACAATTAATGGTAGTCTCTTGAAAATGTTGTCAGAGAATCACTTGAAAATCATATCTACAAATCCAAATGTACTTATTCTAACAAAGATAGTTTTATACAACATATCCAATCAAGGCATTCCAGCATCACTGTGAACATACAATAAAAAAAGCAAGAACCATGAGCAGCAGAGCAGACATGGCATAATCCTACCAATACTTCAGTTTAGGCTAATTTTTAACTTATCTTTTGTCCTAAAATGTGACAGAAACAGAGTACAACCTTAAAGTGGAAAAAGCCTCACCTTCCACCTTGGCAGTGTTGGACTCTTTAGTAGTTTTGGCAGCGGCGGAGCTCGGGTCTCTTCTCTGCCTCTTTGCGTCCCGTCCTCCATGTTCATCGCCCAGATCAATGACGAGCTCTCTCTCAGAATCAGAGTCCTGTTCAGCAGCAGCTGTTTTGCCCTCCTCTGGCGGTTTAGGCTTTTCAGTGACAAGTTGAGACTGAGGTGTCCTGGGCTTTTCCTGCAGATCCCTGTCTGGACCGTTGCAGCCCGGCTTCTCTTTGAGCAAAGGCTCGAGGGCAGCGGTTTTATCCCCCATCGCTGTGACTTCCTCCTTACACTCTCCCTCCGCACTCGCCTTTGACCTTTTTCTTTCTGCTTTCTCCTTGTCCTCGTGTGCAGAGTTCTTGGTCTGGTGTTCTTCATCACTGGGATATTCGCTGTCGCTGGAGTCAGATTTCTCCGAGTCCTCAGAGTCGCTATGGTCCACATCTTTATACACATCTTCGGAAATCTCGTTAATACCTGTGTAGGCAAATGTAAACTTCACAATTGTTGTAGTAAAACACACAAATACACAATCACTGAACTGAACTGGACTACATGTAATTGTCTGATTTAAACTGAACCCATTTCTATTGTAAAGTATCTTGAGATGATTGTTTCACACAAGGTACAGAGTCAGACTACAAAACTGTTAGCCAAAGATGATCAAAATCATTATTTTTATATATTTAACAAATCCAAATCCATGTTTCAAGCAGTTATAAAGTATATCGATATTTACCAAGCTGTGCCTTGCAGCTTTCAATGGTCTTATCCAGACTCCTGATGGGTCTCTTTGGAGTGGTGACAGTAGTGGGGGCTGCTTGTTGCTGCTGCTGCTGTTGCTGCACTGTCTCACTTAGTTCCTTCAGGTCCATTTCAGCCTTCACTCGATCTGAGTTAAACATAAATTGCAGGAGAACAGTCACGATTATCATGTCAGCCATGTACAGCCTTCCAAATCAGTAAACAAGATGTTTACTGTATTCCGATGGGAGTTTATGCAATAAATCCACACAAGACAAGTGCATAATTGTGGTGTAGGAAGAAAAGTTTTCATGGTATAAGATCTTATTTTATTTATTTTTACAAACAAAAATCTTGCAAGTGATGCATAGATGCAATCACCCTCCCAGAGTTCCAGCGGTAGGTCTTATCGGAGATGCGTCTATTAGCTTTCCGCATGTAGATAGTGGCATATTTGCTCATTCTGCTTTGTAAAATTACTCAGTCAGTCAGGTTGGATGGAGAATGTCTGTAGGCAAGTCAAGTCCTGTCAGTTTCCCAATTGGTTAAGATGTGTACTGCGATGGGACTGTGCCATTCTAAACTTATTTAGCTAAAATAAAGCCTCATGACCACAACAAAAAAGACAGAAAACAAGTAATGACGATAGTTTGATAAAATATTGTGAAGGCAGACTGAATGTTATTAGCATACATCTTAATGACACATGGGGTGCATCATATATATTTGTACTTAGAATAACACACAGTTTTACCAGTTCTGCTATTTCAGTAGGTGACTTCTGAATGCAGATGGTTGCACAGGATTTCATTTGGCCATACCAAGTAATAGGGAAGGAAAGCAATTTTTTGTTTTAATTTTTAAAAACATGCACCTCTTTGCATTGTTATTAAAATCCCAATTAAATACACCAATGTTCCCGGTTGCGATATGATAAAAACTTAAGAGACCAAGAGACTGAGTTATCCATCACAAATTCTACTTTATGCGTTACTGACCAAGGTTAAGGTTGAGGATGCCTCCAGTTCCTGCTGTCCTTTCCTGCTTAGGAACCAGTGCAGAGTTTATGGGTTTCGGACTGCTGCTCACACTAGCAGTTGGACCAGGCTTCCCCGATACAGGAGATGCTGTAATTATAAGATTTTGCTGAGTATTTCAAAATCGTCATCATGGCCGCCAAAGAAAAAGAAACTTGAAATATGATCTACCACTGCAGTCCATTGATTCCTCTCCAGTGCTGTAGTGTAGGGCAGGGTTCCTGCTCGGCTTCTCGGTTTCTTGCTCCCCATCGGACCCCGTGTGAACCGAGGAGTTGGTGCTCATTGGAGACCGAGGCATTTCCATCATTGAGGGCCGCCGGCTCATCCCGGTAGAACACTTGCTGAGGATCATCTTGGGAGAGGAAGTCATGTCAAAGTTGAAGCGAAGCTTGTCTGACTTCTCTGTTTTCACCGTCCCGGCATTGGGGTTGTTGGGGTCCACCAGCATCTGCAGCTGGTTGTTGGGTGTGTAGGGAGTGCGGAAGGGTGCGTAGTTAAAGATGCCAAATTTCTTGCGGATGTTTTCCACATAGACCTCCATCTCTTGCATGGCGCTGTTGAAAATGCTCTTTGTTTTCTTCACAGAGAAAGGGATTTCTTTGGACATCAGGTAGCAGTTGTTGATCGGAACCCAGGCGCTGAATGGACGACGAAAAAAAAGAATACATCAGCAACTTAGAAAAATGTATTAAACAATTCGCAACAAGAGCTGTTTCTCTTACCGATCATGTTGACCAAAGAAGCGTGCGTCTACTTGACCATCCTTTTCTCTGAGTGCTTTTGCCGGCCAAAAAGGAAAACCCTTCAGCTTAGCCCAAACCAGAGGATGAGGCTGACTCTATTGAAAACAAGGAAAAGTAATTCAATATAATTCTAATGTGTAAACTATGTAAATATGGTATTCAAGATAAAACAAAGACCTACACATGGCTCACAAAACCAGTTTTCCCTTTTTTGGCAAGAAGACAAATAGCACTCCGGACACACCTCAATCTCATTCATCTAAAAATGAATTTAAAAACAACATTAACAACACATTACTTATTTTTATTCTGTCCTTAATTTAGTGGAGAACTTTTACCTCATGTTCACAGATCTTGACAATGACCTTTGCAGTTGCTGTTAATTTATGATTACCTGCAGAAGAAATTGTAGTAACTTTATTTTTCTTTGGGGGTTTGCACAATAAAAGGAGTAGTTACAAATATTTATTAATGACAAATTGCCAAACCTCCATTATAGATGATGCAGTTGTGTAAGATCCATTTTATATCAGCAAGAAAAGCCTCAGTGCAGCCATACATTTTCTTTTTCACATTCTATCAAGAGGGAAAAATATATTTACATATGTAAGGACAATAAAACATTTTAGTGAAAAAAGTAGCATTTGGTAAAGCTGTCCCTTGTTTTGGGTACTTAAAAATGTGAGTACCTTTTCTATAGTACTTAGGTCCATAGGGTGGAAGATGTACTCTGCATAATCTGGATGCTGTTCCAGTGACACGGGTTTCTGAAATGGCTCTGTCTGCTCATTAAAGACAAGCATGGGACAACTGTTAAAGCCTGAACTTTGAAAGACTAACCTCCTGAAGCCACAGCAAACTTTGCAGCCACGTCCAAGACGCAGTTAAAATAAATTCAGATTTTATTGCAGTGGCATAATCCCACACTGAAAATTTTGTTGCAAGATTTTGAAGATATTTTTTTAAAACCTCCCTGATCCAGACTCTTAGTGGTGGGCAGCAGATAAGAGAAATGTATCAGTTTGTCACATTAAGTAACGGATTATTTCTTGAAAGTTTCTTGATATGTTGACCAAATGAAACTTAAATTCAAAGTGTACAGTTTGAACTTTTTGTGGTCCAGACTCAGTTTTATAGGAATTTTGTTTGAAAGAGAACTAAAACTTTAGTTTTACTGTGAGATTTTCTGCTCTATAGAGCGAGTATACTCCAACAAAACACTGGACTTGGATTGGGTTGTAAATCTTTCAGTATGAGACCATGCAACTGCAGTAAAAAAAAAAAAAAAAAAAAAAAAAAAAAAAAAAAAAAAAGAAAAATTGTAGGAATTTTTTAAAGCATAGTTTTCCCAGGGTGCTGTTTATTGCAGAATTTTCCAATATTATTTCAAAAATCTATATACAATACAATAAATAAAATGGCTTCCTTACCCCAGGCTGTTTGATTTTTTGGAGAGCAAATTTCAGTAAGTAGGAGAGTTGGTCTATTGTTAGCATTGTCATTGCTTTGCTCTGGGTTTCAATGCACTCAGCAACTGTTATTTTCTGAAAGAAGACAAAATGATGACAAGAATTATTGTTCAATCATAATAAACAAGCAAAGTTAAACTTTGTAAAGTTTATCCCACAGGACATCTCAGCTGACAATCTTAAAAAAAATAAACTAACCAGGTTTTTTGCAAATTCCCAGTTCATGGTATTCTTATAGCATCAGGTTGAAAAGCCTGATGCTGTAAGAAAATCCGAACTTTCACAAACTGAGTCGCAAATGCAGAGTGTAGCCAGGGGCATCACTGACACCCATCCCCAAAGGTTAAAGAAATAGTAAATAGCTTTCGAGTAATGCAAAACTAATTATTTAACAGATTACTTTCAAGTAAATAATTTAAATTAAACAGGAATCATCAAATATGGAAGTGGTAAAATGAAAAGTGATATAGAGATGAGACATAAGATTATAATTTTTATATTCGTATTTCATTACATCGTTTTATAAATATGCAAGCTGTCATAATATCAATCAGACATTAAGTACTTGTCCATTTTGAATTTTACTCAACAGGTTTTAAGGAAACTAAGAAATTGATCTAAATAAAAAAAAATTGCAACTCAAGCAATTAGAATATAGTTAAATATGTATTAGTACCGTAACTCCATTCAAAAGCCAAAACCCATTACAGATGTTACACACAGTGATACATTTCCAAACTCTCGCAATCCTCTCGAGGCTGTGGGATTCCCACCATACCTCTTTCTTCCACTCAGTTTTTTTGATAGAGAAGTGCTTCCCCAACCTTGGTCCTCCAGGCACACTGCTCTGCATGTTTTAGACGTTTCTCTGATTTAAACACACCTGATTCAGATGATTGCAGTTCAGTAAAAGCCCGATAGTAAGCCTGAACTGAAATTAAGGGAGCTGAAGCAGGGAAACATGCAGGGCAGTTCGCCTTAGAAAAACCTGGGGCGTAGTACAGCTACTGCCTGCAGGACTACACGATAACTTTTAAGTGAGTCGTCTTCCTCGTGTTTATGTAGGCCACTCTCATTAGCTATAATCATTCAAATAATACCTGAAAGTATCAGTGTGTGTATAATGAATTCATGTAATTGTAGGTTCTTACTTCATGATGATTATTTATTGAGCTGCACCTGAGTCTACGTTTGTCACGTTTTGTTATTTTGTGGAGATTTTCATTTTCTCTATTGTCAGGATGATGTACCATGGTGGGTCATTTGTCTCCATGTTTCGGCCTGCAACACAGGCTGAAGCAGGTCATTTCACTGACTTATGTCTTCACTGGGACACCTCATTTTTGTCAGCTGAGCCATTCTGAATCTAACAAGCATCTGCCTACGCCCACACCCACACACAAACACACGTCGTCTGTGCGATACCTCACATTCTGGACAGAACCAGTCGCCCTCGGGCTCGGCTGGTAGTTTGAGGCACTTGGCGTGGTACACCCTGGGGCAGAGCTCACAGCAGAGCACCTGACCCTCGCGGTGGCACAGCCAGCAGTAGAAGTCATTCCTGCCGTCCTGCGGTACAACATCAACAGGGTCTGTGGTGAGTGCTGGCTGCTTCATATAGTAAAAGGGACCATGTCTTAGCTCTGACTGAAATGCAGGCAAGAGAAACAGGGGGCAGGTTTCAAAAACACGCAGGAACACAAAAAAAGGTGCAATGCAACAGAAACAAGGTAGTATTCAGGTGAGGCAAGCAGGGTAAGCGGCACAGGGACAATAAAGGCAACAAAACCTACACAATAGTGATTTTTGCAAATTGGATAACAATAAATCAAATTGGGCGTCCCTTTTAAAAATATAAATAAATAGTTTGATTGTACTCATGGAGAATACAATTGATAAAATTTAACAGAGTCAAACCATAAACTATTTTGCCAAAAGTATTCATTCATGCATCCAAATTATCGCCACCGTGGCCACAGGTGTTTAAAATCCCGCATCTTTTCAGGCAGATTGCTTATACAAATTTTTGTGAAAGAATGGGCCGCTCTCAAGAGCTCGGTGAATTCCAGCAAAGTGCAATAACAAGATGCCACCTGCGCAATTGTACAAATTTTCAAGCGACACAATTAACTTGAATTGGTATAATAATAAAGTGGAAGAGATCAGGAATGACAGCAATTGAGCCAATAAGTTGTAGGACATGTAAAAATCGCATTACGGTGAAATGGTGAAGCATTCAGGGGATAAAGGTCAAATTTTCAGATGAGACACTTGAGTACAGAGCACCAAATTTCATGTGTCCTTCTATTAGCTGAAAACCTGTGTGTAGAGAGCTTCTTGGAACGGGATTCCCCATGATGAGAAGCTGTGTCCTAACCTTACATAATCAAGTGACATACTGAGAGTCAGTTCCTTTCACTGGGCAATGCTCATATTGAATAAACCTCCAATCTTTGTGGGGAAAAATCTGGGGATAGCCCCTTCCTGTTCCAACATGACTATACAAAGCAATGTCCAAAAATGAGTGAGTTCATGGAGGCCAATCAAGGTGTTCCTGACCTCAACCTGATAAAGCTTCTCAAGCTAGTGCAAGCTGCAGAAGTTGGGGCGGCATAGTGTTAAACTTTATGGATTAGAATTGGGATACCACTCAATGCCATGCGTTTCAAGGCATTTGAAAGAATACTTTTGGCAGTATAGTGAATTTAATTACCATCATATTGAGACAAAATATGCTCATCTCAGAGTAAAAACCAAAATATAAATAAATAGATACAATTATCAAAACAAAGTCAGTGTCTGAAATACGTGGTTATGTTTAAAATGCATTTAAGTCAAAACTCAATATGCACTATAAGTGACTTTTTATGCATTGCTATTGATCAGCAAAATATTTTTATTTCTCTCAGTTCTGCTGGTTGAGTTTGTTTACATGATGTTTATATTGATGTTCTTTCATGCCAAACATCTCTGCTGACTCTTTTAGGAAAATGAGGGACTGGACAACTTTTCTTCAATGACTCATTTCTGTTTGGATTCCTTTGCTATTTGTAGCACTAACGCAAGTATAGAGAAGTCTGATTCATCACTGTCAGGAAACCTATTCACCTCTGTGGGCTTTTCAACCAATCTTAAGTGCGAAGAAAGTACCACGTTGCTCAAACAGTTCAACTGGATAAATATTAGCATGAAAATTACAAGTTAATTAGCCAACAATTATTACACTCCAATGACTCATTGGAGTGTAATAAAGGATAATAAAGGATGAGTGCAATACTCATCCTTTGTAGTATGAGTATTGCACATGCTGACATTGTTATCATGGTACATGTTGCAGGCCTAATCAGCACACTGGACAAGTGAATTGAAAATAAGTTGGATTTAATCAAGATTATTTGTTTGGTTTTTGCTCTGAGAGAAAAAGGACTAGTGGAAGGGACTGGTCTAACAATATTTATGTTTTAAAATGTTACACAACACAAAGAAACTTCCAAATTAATGAAGAGAATTGTGTGTGTGACGATCTTTTCTAATCCTATAAAAGCAGCAGGCCATGCCTGAGTTTGCGATGAGCTTCCAGGAGCCTTACCTGGTCTTTGTTGTTACAATTCACGGCTCCTGGCTTTTTCTTTTTCTTAAGGGGGCTGGGTGACGTGTCTGAAGGAGAGTGTCCATTGGAGGAATGGGTGGGACTTGACACCTTTCGCTTCTGTGGTGCCACAGATCGTTCCGCTGAACCTGGTGCATCAGGTGCTGAGATGAAAAAGCTTGTGTCATTCGAATTGCACCACTTGTGGTATTAAAGTGGACAAGCTAGACCAAAAATAAATTCAGAAATGCTCCAATAGATCACTTCCATGACCCCGGAGTGCTGCAGTTGAGATTCTTCTGATTTTGCAACAGTCAGGCGTTTCAGATAAAAAATAGTTTTAATATCAGTCAAAATTAACCCAAGTAAATAGAAAAAACACAAAAGAGTTAGCCAAAGCAACATGGCTCTATATAAGGATATTTAGTGCCAATCCTTCTTAAATTTTGAATATAATGACAGTAACCATATTTTTGGGTTCAGTTTTAGTTGCTACACTCAAGTCTGCCTGAACTGCAGAACCAAGAAAACATGTATATCGGATCAGAAATTAAGAAAATTCTGCAAAGAAAAGTGGAAGGTAAGTGAAAAGTGTTTGAAGGAAATCTCTACGCTTAGAGAGCAGTAATTATTTCACATAGGGACAGCATAGTTTGGATAGTTAAGGTGAAATCATTTTGAAACAGCATTTTGTACTTACTTAAGTAAATCTCTCTGATATAACTCATTTGACGACTTATTACATCCGAGTACAACTAACAAGGCAATTAAGGTGAAAAAACCCCCAGACATTTATATCCTAACAACAAGAGCTAAGCAATATTTTAGTTTGCTTCTTTTATTGACGTAAAAATTTATTTCAATACCGTTTACATCACTGCAAGAGCAACCAAACATTTTAAATATAGTTAAATAAAGGAATGCCTGAAATCTTTGAGTACATAAATTAAAACAAATGCCGAAAAGGCTTCATCTAAGGTGAAGGGTGTGTGCTGATTCCTGATGGAAAAAGCCATACAGTCATAACATGTCACTGTTGCAGATCAGCATGCATTAACCTCTCAGAATCCGATAGGAAAATCCTGTTGTGTTCTTCGACACCGTCATGTTTGACTTCTGATAGGACATGCACGGCCTTAAGAGACTTACCTTTCGATCGCAGAGAAGCGTCCATCCCCTCTACCACATCCGGCTCTTTCTTTATCTCCTCCTCAGCCAGACTGCACAGCAACGAACACGAGCACACAGGAACACAGGAAGAGGGGCAAACACAGAGTCAGAGAGGGTGTTCAGAAACCACATCAGCTTTATCTGTAAACAAGTGGAACACCACCTAAGGCACTGGGTCCCAGAGGACCTGTCAACAGGGACTCTACCGATTTCCATCATTTTTTTACATCTCACCAGACTTGAACGCATCTTTGACTTTTAATGTGACGTTCGAACGCTTTCCACATTTTCAGCTACTATCAAGTCGGAAAATGTTCTTTATACTCCAACAGAGAGACCAGTAACAATCACCATGGCAACATTAAGTTCACAAATGGATGTTCACAACGACACATAGAACCTTTTAGCCAACATTACCGTGCATCCATGCTCATCAGAAGATGTCACAGGCGAAGTAAAATTGTGGCTCAACTGGGCCACGGCCTGTTTTGTTTATGACAATCGGCGAATAGACCTATAGTAACAAGAAGTCCAAAGGGAGCTGCCCCATGCGAAGAGGACAGCCTGTCGTTGTAATTAACAGTACATGCTTCTACCACCTTCCAAGCCCCTTCAGTAACAACAGCAGACTCTCTGGAGGATTTAGGCCTTTTCTTGGAGACCAGTCAGGTCATCTCAATATTCTTGAACAAAATCTTTACCAAATAATCCGTTTGGAATCCACCAGCTACAGAGATTCACTTTCGCAAAGCATACTCAACATAAAAGTCAAAACATTAACCTCTGAAAAAAAAAAAAAAAGTAAAAATAATCAACCTCACCCCCCCCCGTCTTTTCTTCTGCAAAGCATCTCGTTCCCTCTGTGGTTACAAAAAGCAGAATAAAAAGAGGGTTTGGCAATAAATGAGGGTCTTTGGCTCTTCTTTTGTCCAAGCAACACAGGGCCTCGTTCCAAGGATGTGCCCTTTATTCAAAAGACCAGGGAAAAAAGCCCTCCAGAGAACCCCTGACAGGTCACACACTCGATCAGTTAATAGCTCTGGCTGCTGCAGCTCTGGTTTCCAGTTGAATGATAGGGTTTCAGTCTGCAACTCGAATGCCCACAGTTGTGGGATGGTTTTATTTTCACTTGGAAAACTAAAACAATCCTCTCTATGCCTCTAGACTCCATTTTTATAGAGAAACTCTAGAGAAAGTTGGTTAAATTGCAGCTAGCTGTGGATATACAATGGATCTGTAAGCCCAAAAGCCTTGATATAATCAGATGAGCCAAAAGATAAGATTTGAGAGAAACAATTAAACCCAAACATAATGCAATCAGCCAGTAGTTACTTAAAATCATCTTTGTGGTTCTTCTCCTAAACAAAATGACCATTACTCAAACCATGAGACTTTAAAAATTAAGCAATTAGAGAAAGTTTATCAAACTGAAATAAAAACATTGAACAAAGTTTAAGATATGACACATGGAGATCTTGTTTCAGCTTGCCAGCTTTCTCAGAAGCGTGTACACACACACACACACACACACACACACCCCTTCAGGGCCTTCCTGTTCCGGACTGAGTGAACAAACGAGGCCCACATGAAAATAAGAGACGATAGCCGAGTCTCCACCGCAGCCCTGAAAAGGAGAGAAGGTTCGCCATTCTTCAGCAGAGCTGCACAACAACTTCGTTTTTAAAACCTTCTCAGAAACATTGTCAAGAAATTTCTGTAGCCACCAAAAAGACAAGATGAGCTGGAGTAAAAAGGGATCCAAAAGGGCTTTTTTTTCATATCAGGAAATAAGATCCATCAAGTAGCAAGCAGACGTAAGGCAAATAAATCCCCAGCAGAGAGTCAGATATATTCCAGAAAGATCAAATAAAAAAACGACACATACACTTTTCTCTTCTGCAAGTACTGTAGTACCTGATGGAGAAAAAGGAAACAACACTGAGTCACTGCCTTCAGATTCCACTCCTGTGAGAGACGAGCAGGGTTCTCTCGTCACAGAAAATGGAGGCCACAGCTTGCTACCCTCCCCCCCACTCTCCCCCATCCCCCACTCCAAGGCTGAGACTCGGGCACGGGCACATCCACGCAGGAGGACCGGCGAGAGATCTGTGGAGATTACAGTCCAACATTTCTGAAAAAATAAAGACGGTTGTGTCAGGACGAACCTTCACGAACCAATAACAGAAACAAGAGGGAAAACAACAGCGAGGAGGCACGAGAAAATCCAGCAGGACGAGAAGCACCGGTCTGGATTCTCCCACCCCCCACCTCTCCCAGTATGTCTTCGATCCTCTTCCTTCTCTCCTCTGTGTACATCACTGTCACAAAATAATTAGATGTCATTTTTTATGAAGGAGAGATGCAGAATGTGAAACCACAGTCAGATCCTGAAGAGCTCATTTCTATCCGTGTCGTAAGTGGCTTGTTAAATTCCTAAATATCTGATACAAAGCAATTTCAGAGTACAGAGATGATCCATCATGTCCGAAACAGTATGTTGGACTGAAACTCCAAATGAAAGCAACTTATTTGGTTCCACTGGTTAAAAAAGGAGCAACAAATAAGCATACGGAGCAGAATGCAACATAAAAGTAACAACAAAACCATTTTTCAGCATTACAACACAACTCAGAAGATCCAAAAACACCGAAGAGACCAAGTTTTCCAACCCACTAGTCACTAAATAAGTAAACAGTTCCTACATTTGATAAGATAATGCATTTATCTGCAATAGAAAAACGTATCACAACAATCTTCATTCTATCATACACAATAAATCCTGTATAAGAGAAAAATATTAGACCTGGATTTTTATATAAGGCTGTACAGGATGAATCAAAGATGGCTGTGGAATTTTCCAGAAGGCCCTTGCTCTCCCTGCCGGCGCTCCCTCCGATTGTCAATCTTTAACCTCAGCTCTTGCTGCAATTGGCTGGAAGGCCAACAGGCTGGAACGCCATTGGTCGGCCACACTGTGCCATACAGATCAGCGCAGGCTCCCCTCTTCCTCTTTAAAAAGCCTTTTTTGCTGCAATGCAGAGATTTTCCTCCTGCATTAGTCGGTTTTATTTTTCCCCTCTCGGTTTAGCTTATTCCCCATCCTAATAACGACAGCATAAAACTCTAAAAAAGGGGGATTTTAATCAAGGATTTGTGGGAGATTACATTTGTGCATATACAACTGTGATTTATGGCTCTACTATTCAACATCTGTCACCCTGTTGCCTCAGAAGGAGGCCCAGATTGGTTCCCCGACTTATCTCACTACCAGTGAGAAAATTACACGACATGCTTTCGGTACCTAATAATCAAGCCAGCAAAAGTCTGACTTTTGGTTTTGATTTTACAGTGTGAATTAGTCGCAGGCAAAGAACCCTATCTAATGTTTCCATTTTCAGGGTTTATGTAGATCAAAACTGCCTCATGTCAGCCCACAAGAAAAAGAGATCCCTCTTTGTTTCCCCCACGCAGCTGAGATTGCTATAAGGGTGCTACATGACGTAACATGGTGTTCTGCCTATGTTCTGATAAATACAGCATGACACAACGAAGCATTTGCTTACATTTTGAGCAATCTGTCTCATATTTTTTACATACATTTTTTTTTAAAGAAGTCATTTTGAGATCTTTGAATATAAAATAACCTCTTACCTTTGTCCGACTTCCTACATTGAATCTCTAGTTGAAGACAAACCTAGCTGGCTTTTTTGTTTATGTGTTCAAAGCTACAAAAAAATAGAAAGCAGCAAGAGTAGGACGAGAAAAGCAACCTAACAAAGATTAGATCCAATCACTGAAATTCTTCCTAAATCCTGTTCAGATGTTTAAATATTACATAATACAAAGATCCTCTTAAATCTTGTGTTGTTTCTTTGTCCTGGTGTCTGATCTGTAAAAGGGAGGGTAAAGTTCTTTCAACATGAGCTCTCTGAACACAAAATGGCCACTGTGTGTATGCGTGTGTGTCTGAGAGTGGAGGAAGCAGCTTCGCAGTACAGTTGAAGTCAGGGGCGGAAACCTCAAGGCCCATGACTCTAATAAGTCCTGTCTAATGTTTTTCAGCTCTAAAGATTAGCCTGGCGGGAAAGAGGGGTTCGAAAACAGGTTTGAAGCTGCAGTCATTCTTTGAGCAGGGTGAAGATTAGAAACTCCTGTGTCAACAAACAGAAAGTCATGCAGATTTCAGTTTCAGGATATATTAAACCGCTCTAAGTTTTGCCCTGAACTACCTTCCCTTCTTCCAAACTTGTATGATGCCACCTGCTCTTCCTCCCTGGGCCTGGCATGAGATAAGAAGCAAGAGCAGAGCAAGTATACTTGCACAGGGTACATAGTACCCCCATCCTGCCCATCCCCCTTGTTTCTCTGCCAGGCTACAACACGAGAGCAGCAGCAGAAGCAAGGAGATGAGAGTGCAACTTTTAGATCAAGCTCTCTTTTGCCTTGTACACAGTAAAAAGAAAAAGGATTTGCCATGGTGGGATCTGCCTGCTGTATGGCAGCCTGGCTGTCTGGGGCACACATGTGACCCTGAGACACAGAGAGAGAGCAAGGGTGAGAGTCGTTACCCAACCCCCCAACCCTAAAAACCCCTGTGGAAGGCGCAGAGGCCTGACGAGGCCTCCAATCCAGCCCAGCTCCTCCTCCTCTTCCTCCTGCTGCACACTAAGCTGACTTTAAAGGTGTGCACATTCATCATGAGAAACCCCACAAGTCAGCACGACAACAAAAAAGGAAGCCATGTTGCTATCAGACGGCTGAGATAAAAAAGACAGAGCTTACCTCTGTGGATGCATGGCTGCCTGACACAATGTTATGTCAACACTTATAAAACATGGAGGACACTCTCAGCCCTCAGCCGGGGAAGGCTCCGCTCTTCAGGCACGGCGATCAGGCCCCGGCGATGTTAGCCAGATCCTGACTGGTCGCCTCCCTCGCAGGCGAGATACAACGCCGCGCCTGATTGGCCGAAATGTTTCCTGAGTAATTATCTTTGTTCAGTGCAGGCAGGGGCAGCTCTGTGAGAGTCAGAGGCAAGGGAAGAAAAATGAGCACAGAGCTAGGTCTAAATCTACACAAATATATGATTAAGAGGAGCATTTTTGACATACAAACCCTTTGTGAGAGTGTTCTGAAGCGTCCAGGAGGAGAATCTGTCGGCAGCTCTCTCAGTGGAAGATTAAAAGAGTGAAACTGTCAGCCTGTGGAGTGTTAGGAGCAGGACACCATGGCTTCCCTGAACAAGCCTCCATTTTTTATGTGGAGAGGGCCTTTGTTTAAACTCCTCCCTCCCACTCTGCTTCCTCTAGACTCGGAGGGGGGGGAGAAGAAGCTACTGCTCTGCACCTATTAAGAATGCAAAAAGGGGGAATTAAGCCGCAAGTGATAAATGATCTACACAGGCTTATGCTACAGTTTGTTGTGAAGGGCATCAAATAAACTAACATGACATTTAAATGCTAATGGTTGATTAATTTGGTTTTTTTTTTTACTTATTTTTGTCGCCTCTTTGGGACTTCAGGACATTTCCACCCGGCTGTAATGTCTGTTTAATGATGACATAGCCAAAAAAGCATTTTAATGGTGGTCAGATCACATACATTGTAGATATAAATCCCAATAAAAACCTTACACAGAGTGGTATATTTCAAACAGTTCTTTAATTTAATTTTGATTATAATAGTCTACAGCTAATAAAACCCTCAAATGAAGTCTCTTGCAACAATACATTACAGCAACAATCCATTGTCTACACCCACTTATCATTTCAGGGCTGTGGGGGGGTGGTGCCTCTCTCTTACTGTCATTGGGCAAGAGGTGAGCTTCTCTCTGTGGATATATCAGTGATCCATCACAAGTACACACAAAATTAACCACCAATAACTCTGCTCATTTAGAGAGACTAATTTACATGCATGCATGTTTTTAGACGGTGGAAAGAACCTGAAGAAGCCAGAGGGAGCACTCAAACTTCATGCAAAAGGAGGCTGGGATTTGAACCAAACCCATTATTGTAAAATTTTAGTGCGAACAACTGTTCTACCAAACAGGTCTACATACAACCCATAAAAAAGCGTGTTACTGAGAAGCATATTCACATATTGTGAAGTATATTCATTCAGATTTTTTTTTTTTGCTTTTTTATACTTTAAGTGAAAACTAACATTTATTTTATTTATGTATTTGCTAATATATTTATTATTCAAAACTTTTCGATGTCCAATGTTTATATATATTGGCACTATATATTGTTTGCAATGTAATATTTTAGGTTTTAATCACCGTTTGGATGTTAAACATTTAGTAGTTATTGTTTTTCAAACATTTCCTATTTATTTTCTGTTTCCTCATCCCCCATGACTTGATTGTCATGGGGGATGTCATTTGTTATTCTTTTATTAAATATTTGTAGTGCTTTTTAGTTCATAAGTTTTCAACCTGAGAAAATAAGACTTGTGTTATTGGAAAATAGGGAATAATTGTTTGACAGATACTCCCCGAATTGTTGCAAGGTATGTAAATAACATAAAACATTAAGAAAATGAAAGATTGTTCCATAAATAACAGGTTTAAGTATGCCTGGTCAATCATATTATTAAGGCTTCTTCGTATCTACACTAAGACAACTGAGGCCTACATTTAAAAATTCTAGAAAATAAGAAAATTTCAGCGCCCAACGTGGGGCTCGAACCCACGACCCTGAGATTAAGAGTCTCATGCTCTACCGACTGAGCTAGCCGGGCTGCGGCTTTTAGAAAAACAGGCGATACTTTTCCTGCACAAACCATCAGGCGTTGTAGCATGCATCTAATGCCGCCCTCTACTGTTTACACGCGATTCCTTCGAGTGAAATACTTTTATAGCGAAAATAAAATGTAGTATTTGTTGCATATATTCGGCTATAAGTTTAATTTCAAGACAAAGTACGAAGGACAAATTAATAATATTGTAGTTTATTGATAAATCGTGACTCCTTTTTAAAATAAACTAAGTAACGGTTGGTTGAAACTAATTGTGAGCAGTTAGTGTGCTTGGTAGCTAGATGTGCTACGTACGTCTATTCCGTAACATTTACACTGCCCATAACTTTGGACAGTAATGGGATTAAAATACTACATCTAAACTGATTAATCTTCATGTATCTTCATAAATTCTGAAAAATTTGCATAAAACCTGTTAAAAATGTAAATTGACGTACCTCTCAGGCGACACCAATGTAATGCCGACACGAGGGCAACTTCCGGTCACTGTACCAAAGGATAAAAAAAGCGGAGTGACTAAAAGAAGAATCTATGAAAAATAGCAAAAAATTGTTCTTCACTACATCAAAATATTTTTATTCAAATAGAAATAAAACATTATAATCCAAAAAATTGTCAATAATTGTGAAATGGAAAGGGAAAAGCACATTTACAACTAAAATCTGAAAAATCTTCCTGCAATACCAATTCGCAACATAGGCCATCTCAGCCTACTACAGACGGCAAACAGGTCTGGTCCATATCCAAATCCATCCAATCTGATCCAAAGTGTATTCAGTCCAATTCATACAAGTCCTATTTAAACTACAAAAAAACAGATTTAAACTGATATTGTGTGCAAATTGTTAAATGACATCAAATTGCATATTAATGCAATACATTTACATTTGATAAATAAAAAAGATAAATGTCAATGACGTATCCATCTAAGCAAAGAAACATGTTTTATCAATTAGGCTCTTTGATGCAATCTCCCCTCCTGAGAATTGTAGGTGACATTTGAGTTGACAAAATACAATTTGAAGATATGAAAAACCTCACAGGACAACCTGATCAATCTACTTTGACAACTTGAGGTCATAAACAAATATGCACCAGGCTAGGCATACTTTTTATGTGGCATAATTCTAAAGGAAGAATATAAAACTTCCTTTCACATTCTTATGTAAGGAATTATTGCCAGCAGTAATTCAAAAATAATGAGTTTGTGCTTCAGCAACAAAAAACCTGTTTTAAAGGAAAACTGCATCAAGATGACAAAAGACAACTGCAATCTTAAAATGATACAACAATAGTGTTTTCAGAAAGAGGCTTTTTCAGATTTGCTGTGATATCTATGGCGACATGATATAATTCTTGCACAGCAGCTAAGACAACTTTCAAGAAACTTCATTTATTATATTTCAATTCCTTTTGGAGTGTACAAAGTATTTATGAATTCAATAGACAACTATTCTCTTTAGAAGAATAGTCTGTTATTTTTACATAGAGTATGATGTCAAAACTATAGAAGATAATTAGGACCAGATTAAAGTCAGAATTCAGATTTCTTTCTACGTATTCTGACGTTAACAGGTCACGTAAAATGTCATTTGAATCCATTGTGACCCTCCCGATTCTCCTTACAGCTCTCTCATTAAAGATAGTTACTCGGAGGTGCCATCTGAATTAAAATCTGAATTCTGAGAGGGGGGTGAATATCAGGATTCTGAGATTAGATAAAGTAAAAAATATAAAACAATCAGTAGCTCTAATTCACTTTCGTACTAACCTGACCGTTATCTCTTCACTTTCAAAAACATTAGAACGCAGGACGTGTACGTGAAGTACGTCATGACATCACGGCGTTGGGTTCTCCTTCTACGTCAACGACGCTGGGCGGTTCATGAATGGGGCTCTTAAGTGGGAGGGCCCCTCGTCTGAGTTTAGCAGGCAGGAGGAAGAAAGTGTGTGATGTGTTTTGCTGCGATGCTCCTTCATGACGGTTTATAAACAGTCCAGCGGTGAGCGGTTCTCTGTGTTTGCGGATTGTAGCGGAGGGATCTTCACCCCGCAGGGATAGCATCCTTCGGCTGAGACGTACAGGCCAGCGGCCACAGCAGCAGCAGCGGAACCAGAGGGAGGCAGAGTCGTGTCGATGAGCCATGGGGTTCCGCAAGAAAAACAAGAGCCCACCAGTGCTGAGCCACGAGTTTGTGATCCAGAATCACGCCGACATGGTTTCCTGTTTGGCCATGATCATCCTCCTCGGCCTAATGTTTGAGGTACTTTGTGTGTGAGTGGAGCTGTTAACCGCTGCTAGCTAACGTTAGCTCACATGACAGCAGGACTCAGCAGCAGGGCGCTAGCGTGTCTCCTTCCCTTCTCATGTGTCTCTGATTGCCAAAGAAGATGTGCAGGAGGCCCGCTGGCTCTCTCTGCTGATTCACCGCCTTCCACTGTAGCTAACCAATGCTTTGGTCAGCAAGTTGAGCAGACTGAATGTCTGTCTGGAGGCTGCAACTAAAGCTGACAAGTACTCCGCCACGGTTGAAGAAAACCAAATAGCTTTTATGTCACTAACCTGTCCCCACCCCAGATGCATCATTAAGACTTCTACGATCCATTTTTGAATTAAACTATTCTCATTATAATTGTCATTTTTACATACTTCATTTAAAGTGCAACACACACAACCCACAAGATGTAACTGTGGGAGGAGTGATGTACCTCCTCACTTATTTACCCCTCCAGGCAGCTCTTGGATATCTCTATGCAGTTATGATAATTTGTGAATTCAGGCTATTTCAGAACTGCTTAAATCACACACATGCTGCAGGTATGAGCAGGCAGGTATGCTTTGACAGTTTCACTCGGTTGAGGGTAACCTTGGCTATATGGTACAGTGGATTTTTATCTTATCACCTTTCAAACTCCATTTTTTAATTGGTTTCAAATGTTATGTTTTATTATTTTATATATATATATATATATATATATATATATATATATATATATATATATATATATATATATATATATTCACAGACCCTCATCCTGGCTGCCCAGGAACAGGCCCTAAACACCAGACAAGACCCGAGGTGTAGGTTGTGCACGGAAGCCCCTGAGACAGTCCAGCACATAACAGCAGGGTGCAAGATACTGGCAGGGAAAGCTTACATGGAATGACATAACCAAGTGGCAGGCATAGTGTATAGAAACATCTGTGCAGAATATGGGCTGCCCAATTACTTCCCCAATTTGTAAAGGTTTAAAATTCTAAAAGGCTGTTTTTGTTCCACGTTGTTTACATATTTTATTCCAATTCTCCCTTTAATTAATAATTGTGGTTGTCTTATTTTCTGCTTCAAATTAGAAATAAAAATATTACGATGGATGAACATGAGCACTGATGTTGTTGAACGTGGGGGAAGCCGAAGCACCCGGAGTGAACCCGGGTGCTTTTATCACACTAAATAAAAGCAGTGTGATAATGAATAAAAATTCAACAAACTAGATCATAAAAAGACATTGGAGGAGGAGGGGGAGACATTTCACCTGTGCAGTCCTGGTTTTTTAATATTAAAATTTCCAATTAACAAAAACAGTAGCTGTTTTTCAATGGATGAACATGAGCACTGACGTGGTTGATCGTGGGGGAACCACCCGGAGTGATCCCACACCTACACGGGGAGACATTTCCTCCGTGCAGTCCTTGCTTTTTAATATTAAAATTTCCAATTAACAAAAGCAGTAGTTGTTTTTCAATGGATGACCATGAGCACTGATGTGGTTGATCGAGGGGGAAGCCGGAGCACCCTGAGAGAACCCACACCTACACGGCGTGCAGTCCTGGCTTTTTAATATAAAAATTTCCAATTAACAAAAACAGTCACTGTTTTTCCAATTACCGCCAATCAGTAAACCCACATGTGGCCCCAAACCCCTTTTAAATGTGAAATATTGTAGACAAGTTGATTTCTATTCTGGATAGACTTTACATCTATCTTTGAATTTGCGCAGACATGATGGAGTTACAGCCTTCTTGATTCTCCTCCACAGAGAAATCTTTTTCCTGGGGGTCTCTTTTTGTTCATGGATATTGTTTTGCTCAGCTGCCTCGTCTGCTGCTTGAATCTCTAATTCCTCAGTTGATGTTGGGATATCAGCTTCATTTAATGTAATCTTTGTCTGTGTAGGGGAGGTTCTCTGGTTTTCCTCACTCTCCCCTTCTGTGGACCCTGCAGTAACCATACGAGTTACGCTGTCTGTAACTTTGCCATTTGTTGATTCTATTTGCTCACAAGGTGTCTGGGGGATCTCTGGTACCATTTCTAATTCCTGATCCCCAAGTGCTTCTAATGGAGAAACTGGTTGGTGTTCAGTGTTTTCTTCAGAAACGTCAACTTTCTTGAGGGTCTCAAGCTCACGGGCTGCCTTTCTTGCTTCTTTTGATTTTACGTCCTATGTTGGTTTTCTCCGTTCTAGAGTTGTGGGGACCATTTCTTCCACAGTGATCTCCTGTACTGTATCTCTCTCCGTTTCAATCATATAAACGCAAGTACTGATGTTGGCTTCCTGATCCCCGAGTGTTTCTAAAGGAGCAACTGGTTGATCTTCAGTGTTTTCTAGAGAAACTTCAACTTTGTTGACGGTCTCAAGCTCACGGGCTGCCTTTCTTGCTGCCTTTCTTTTGATTTTACGTCTTGCGTTCTTTGATGGTTTTCTCCGTTCTTCCTGGTCCCCAGTTTGTAGAGTTGTGGGGACCATTTCTTCCACAGTTATTTCTTGTACTGTGTCTCTCTCTGTTTCAATCATATGAATGCAAGTATTGATGTTGGCTTCCTGATCCCCAAGTGTTTCTAAAGAGGCAACTGGTTGATCTTTAGTGTTTTCTTCAAAAACTTTAATTTTTTTGAGGGTCTCAAGCTCTCGGGCTGCCTTTCTTGTGATTTTACGTTGAGCGTTCTTTGATGGTTTGCTCTCTTCTTGTTTGTCCCCAGTTGGTTGGGTTGTGGGGACCGTTTCTTCCACAGTGATCTCCTGTACTGTATCTCTCTCCGTTTCAGTAATATGAATGCTAGTTTCGATGGTGGCTTCCTGATCCTCAACTGTTTTTGGGCGTTCTTGTGCATCTGTTTGAGTTTGAACAGAAACCATGGAATACTTTCTTCGTCTTTTCTCTGAGAGTATTTTCCTTGTCAGTTCTTCCTGTTGTTTAAGTTTCGCATTTAGTTTCTGATTAAAGTCAAACATTTCATCCAGCTGTTTCATTAAGTACTTTTGTACTTCATTATGTTCCATTTCAAGGTCCTTGAACTTGGCAAGACATGCACACTTTTGTTGACTTGTTGGCTTTTCAGAAGCGTTGGGCATATTCTGAATTGTCTCCTGCACTCCAGTGATGGACTGTTCTTCACTGGCCAGTGAATCGTTCTGCTGTTCATTATTTTCTGCAGAACACTCTGTCAACAGGGACGTGTTCCTCTGACCAGGTTTTAAATGGAACCTGGTTCTTCTCATTGGACTCGCTCTCAGGTGGCTGACTGTCCCCGTTTTGGTCCACTGTCTCCAGTGCTTTGGCAATCGATTCATTTTCAACCAGTGAAGCGTCTTGCTGTTCGATGTTTTCAGCAGAAATCGCAAGCTTCTCGGCTTGACACCTTCTTGACACCTTCTTCTTCTTCTTCTTGCGCTTGAGTGGCTTGGGTGGCTGTAATTCCCTTTCCACAATGTTGCCGGATGCAACCTCCTCGATTCCGGGCTGGTTGGACTGCATTGTATCTTTTGCTTGTTTCAATTCTCTAGAAATTCAGTAAAGATTCAAGTTAAGTTTGATGTCAATTTTCAAATGAAATGTGCACTAAACAACGTTGAAAATCTCACTGTAAACTGCTAACTAAACTGTCATGCACAGTATCTTGGCTGTGCCAAGGACTGCACATTTCTGGACTGAGATGTCTGATGTTGTTCCTGGGATCTGTTGTAGCCACTGCTCCAGTTTGGGGGTTACTGCCCCGAGGGCCCCGATGACCACAGGCACCACTGTGGTCTTCACCTTCCAGGCCCTCTCCAGTTCCTCCCTGAGGCCCTGGTATTTCTCCAGTTTCTCGTGCTCCTTTTTCCTGATGTTGCAGTCGCTTGGTATTGCTATATCTACCACAACGGCTTTCTTCTGTTGTTTATCCACTACGACAATGTCTGGTTGGTTTTCCCTTACCATTTTGGCTGTCTGGATCTGGAAGACTCATCTTAGCTCTGGCGTTCTCTACCACCTTTGGGGGTGTTCCCCACTTTGATCTCGGGGTTTCCAGTCCATATTCTGCACAGATGTTTCTATACACTATGCCTGCCACTTGGTTATGTCGTTCCATGTACGCTTTCCCTGCCAGTATCTATCTGTTATGTGCTGGACTGTCTCAGGGGCCTCCTTGCACAACCTACACCTTTAGTCTTGTCTGGTGTGGTAGATCTGGGCCTCTATTGCTCTGGTGTTTAGGGCCTGTTCCTGAGCGGCCAGGATGAGGGCCTCCGTGCTGTCCTTGAGTCCAGCTTTTTCCAGCCATTGGTAGGATTTACTGATATCAGCCACTTCGGTTATTTACTGGTGGTACATCCCATGTAGGGGCTTGTCCTCCCATGATGGTGTCTCTGGCACCTCAACCTCCGTTCCCTGTTGTCTGAGACATTCACTGAGCACATTGTCTGTTGAGGCTTTGTCCCTGATGTATTTATGGATCTCACACTCACTAGTCCTCTGCCTCCTTCCTTGCAGCTCGTGTACAGTCTCAGGGTGCTGGATTTGGGATGGAACCCTCCATGCATTGTTAGTAGTTTTCTGATCTTAATATCTGTGGCTTTTATCTCCTCCTTTGGCCAGCTAATTATTCCAGCAAGGCATAGCTGTTTATCGCACGGATTTTGTTCTTGCCATTGAGCTGGCTTCTCAGGATTTGCCTTATTCGTTGGAGGTATTTAGCTGTGACTCCTTTCCTTGTGACCTCATCACAAGGAAAGGTTGCAACAAGGTTGCCATTTGCTTGTGGTATACCTAGGTACTTGTAACTGTCCTCTATGTCTGCTATTGTTCCTTCTGGGAGTGAGACCCCTTCTGTGTGGATGACCTTCCCCTTCTTTGTGACCAGCCGACCACATTTCTCTAGTCCGAATGACATCCCGATGCCTGTGCTGTAGATCCTGGTGGGGTGGATCAGTAAGTCGATGATTCGCTCACACTTCGCGTACAGCTTGATGTCATCCATGTAGAGAAGATGACTGATATTGGCCCCATTTTTGAGTCGGTATTCGTAGCCAGTCTTGTTGGTAATTTGGCTGAGGGGGTTTAGGCCTATGCAGAACAGTAGCGGGGACAGAGCATCTCCTTGGTATATGCCACATTTGATGGACACTTGTGCAAGTGGTTTGCAGTTGGCTTCAAGGGTACGCTTTCCCTGCCATTGCAAACTCATCGAGTTTGCAATGAAGGCTCTCAGAGTCCTGTTGATGTTATACATCTCTAAGCATTCAATGATCCAGGTATGCAGCATTGAGTCATAGGCTTTCTTGTAATCAATCCAAGCCATGCACAGATTGGTGTGTCGGGTTTTGCAGTCTCTGGCAACTGTGCGGTCTACGAGGAGTTGGTGTTTGGCTCCTGCTGCTATTTACACCGATATCCTTCTGTGCCGTGCTCATGTGTTTATCCATGTGTTTGCTTATCTTGGCCGCTATGATGCTTCCAGGTTGTGGAGAGGCAGGTCGTTAGTTGGGTGGGACTGGACCCTTTGTTGGATCCTTCTAGATTGTCACCCCATTCAGGGTGAGTCCCACTTTGTAGCAGCTGGTTCATTTGGGGTGCCAGTCGCTCATGGAGGGCAGTGAGTTTCTTTAGCCAGTAGGCATGGATCATGTCAGGCCCTGTCCAGTTTTTCATACCTGAGACTCTTTCTTGAACATAGTGATGGTTACTGGGGCTTGCTCAGGGAAGTTGTGCATTGCTGTTGTGTTCAGTATTTCTTTAGGTGGCTGGCCAAGGCTTGGAGCCTCTGTTTGGCAGTTTCGAGTGCTTCAGGTATGCCTGTACTTTCTGGGTATTGGTCTTTGCATTGTACCGTTTGTGGAGCTCTGACAGTTGGCTCACTTCCATCCTTGTTACCTTTTTAGCCTAGGTCTCATGCTTTTATCAGTTGTAGATCAGCTCATTGGTTTCTATTATGGCAGGGGTGTCAAACTCAAATACACAGTGGGCCAAAACTTTAAATTGAACAAAGTTGCGGGCCAACGTTGAACAAATGAATCTTTTAATATGGACCCAAACAAGTTCTAATATAACAATAAATATTGTACAAGCAAAGCTTATCTAACTTAAAAGTGCAGGTGTGCAAAATTGAGTTGCTAATAATAATAAAACATATTATATTAAATAAAATATATTTAATATATGAAATAAAATATTAAATAAAATTTAAATAAACATTTAATGCCTCCTTTCTGATGTAAATGTCTAATATTAATTTGAAATTGCCTCGCGGGCCAAATATAATTACACTGCGGGCCAAATTTGGCCCGCGGGCCAGAGTTTGACACCTATGTATTATGGTGTTGGTAGGGATCGTTTTTCAATCGATTTTGAATGAGGCTTGCCTAAGGACCCAGACTGGATTCGAACCCGGTGATATACTGATGCCTCATCCATTGAGCTATTCCTATATATGTGCAGGCCGCTATTTTATTTTAGTAATTTTAGTAATTGGGATGGGTGGAAATGGGACAGAGAATAAAATAATTTTGATTGATTTTGAGTAACTTTAAACACACAGAACCACTGAAATGATCAGAATCAGGCTTCCATCCAGGCTGGGTAAATACCATAAAGTAAAATATCCACGTTGCACATATAGATGGGGTAAACATAAGCCTTTCTGTGTTTGTTTTTTGATCACCAAAGCTGTAATGTAAGGAGCGTATAAAAAATAAGAAGTGTTTTATTTCATTGTCTGCTATTTTAGTTTTGCTATTACTTTTATTCTCAAAATTTCCAGTTTGCATATATGGGATTGGAAGGAAAGCTTCTTCTTTTCTTAAAAGTAACTTCAATAACTAAAACCCACCTTTAACAAGCTAAAAGCCTAGAAAACTGCTGAATATTTATGTTTAGTGAGAACTGATGTTGCTGATGTCTTTCAAAGCAAATGGAGCACTTTGTGTTCAGGGAACAACAGTGGATTGTATTAAAGCAGCTACACAGAATCTTGTCTAATTATAATGATCTGAATCGGTCATATAATTTGCATGCATAGGGAAAATATTTTTGAAATAACATGCATACATTTAATGATGCATGGCAGTCTTTTTTTTTTTTTTAAAGTATTTGGTTTGTATCCAAGGAAGCTAATTAGAGCATAAAGTGATCTTAAAAATCATCAGTGATGAAAACTGAAGCAATTAAAATTAATTCAGATTATTTTTTATCACTTCAGGTCACGGCAAAGTTTGCCATCATGTTCATCACAGTCCAGTACAATGTTACTCAAGTTCTCGGTAAGATCGTTTGCTACATTTCTGCTCATTCCTGTTTCTTAATTCCGCTTTAATTCTCATACCTTTAGGTTATTTTTAATAATCTAATTTCCTTCTCTTTGCAGATGAGAAAAGCGAGCCAGTAAACCTTTACCAGTACGGCCCTAAAGATGTGGCTACAGTGTTTTTCTACCTACTCATAGCAGTCATACTTCACGCCTTGATTCAAGAGTATATTCTCGATGTGAGTACAGTTTGACGCCACTTTTCTCACTAATTGTTTATCAAAAATGTATGGCTGTGGGAAAAACGTCAGATATATTTATATTTTTAAATAATTCATAAGGACTAATGGAAGCTTTATTTGCCTAAAACAGTCTATTTTTTTCTTCTTTTCCCTTTATCCAAAATGATCAAAGCATGACAGGCTTTTTTCATTCAAATATTCTAATATTAAAAAAGTGGAACATGCTTTAAAGCATACCTTCTCTCTTCATAAGACTGTTTTCTGTGTATCTATTAAAACGGCTATCAGATGAACGCGTTCATATTGCAGCAAACCAGATCCTTTTTAAAAGAACCCTTCTCAACACACTTCACTTCAAAGGGCCGATTCATGAGCTTTGAGATTGGATTTTTCTATTTGTATGTGCTCGCAATCATGCGTATGCCTCCTTTCCACACAGAAATATGCTATGTACTTTGTTTGCAATGGAATGTTTTAAGATTGTTTTTTAATGTCACACTATTGTTATTAAATTTGGTTGTACTGCTCTTGTTCTGAAAAACATGTTTTCTTAATCAGAAAAAAAATGTCCTCAGGCAGCTTTTGCTTATTCTTTTCTTTATTAATTTGCGCTTCTACTATAACTAATGCAGTTGTTTCAAAAAGAGGTCATATAAACTACTATTACATTGTAAATATTATGCATTATTAAAATTAAGAACAGATAAAGCCTAAAGTGACTAATGACACTGTAGGCGTAGTAGACATTTTATTACCTGCAGTGGAGAAGCTTCAGGCTTATCTTATTTTCTTATTAAGGAACCATCCTTTTGGCTATGTGGACTAATGCAAATTTGAGTGAGTCTACTCAACTTGAAACAAATGAAGCCCAAAACCTTCCTATTATAATCATTTTTATTTATTTTTATTTTTGAAGAAAGAGTGTACATGTTGCTCACAAAGTTTGACAGGAGCGATTATTTATTTATTAATCTCTGTGTGAAAAAAATTATAATTTGGTTAAGTTGATTTAGATTATGGAAATTTTCATTTTAACCAGGCCACCTCTAGAAGCTGTTAATTAATTGCTTCCAGTTGAATTTTTCTTTAGCTGCCAATGCACTGTTCACTCATAGCTACTGCCCACAGCCCTATAACGATCTGAACTCTGTGTAATTATGTTGTATTGTGTGTTCATTCTCCATTTCAGAAAATTAATAGGAGGTTGCACCTGTCGAAGACCAAACACAGCAAGTTTAATGAGTCTGGCCAGCTAGCAGCGTTCTACCTGTTCTCCTTTATCTGGGGCTGCAGCATCCTAACAGCGGTACAAGGCTCTGGAGTCTCAGAAACATTATTGCATGTCGTATGAGGCTTCATCTTTATGGGGGTTTAACTTCTTACTTTGACAGGAGGAGTTTGCAACAAATCCCACTTTCTTATGGGAGGGGTACCCACACACCAACATGGTGTAAGTAAAAATGCCTTTGAGAGCTTTGTGGTTTAAGGTCACACCGTGGAACAATGTTAAAAGTTTACTTAAAAGTATCTCTGTTGAAGCACAGTCTGAAATTGCTTTCTTCCAGAGTTTTTTCTTTTGTTAAACAAAGTGTTTGGGGTTTTTTGGTATTGAAAATTTGCTTATTCATCTCTAAGCTTGTCTGTATTTCTCTGAATTTTAGTTTGTAGTATTAAAATTCTAATACATGTATAAAATAAAACTAAAGTGTCTTAGTCTCTTGTTTATTGCTCTATTTTTTCTCTTTAGTTTTCAGGTTAAATTCTTCTACATTTGCCAAATTGCCTATTGGCTCCACGCACTTCCTGAGCTGTACTTTCAAAAAGTACGAAAGGTGAGGTTGGTCTGTGTTTATTTTTTCATTTTATTTATTTTTAATAGCAGCATTTCATTATTATCTAGTAATAAAAAGATTATTTTTAAGATTACTTTTATCAAGTTTGTTTACATTGATTTTTTTTTTCATCGCTTTTAAACATATAATAATATATCAAAGTAAGTTGGGACCAAATGTCTTGGTTTCATTTTTAAATATTTTAATTACCCACATTGTTTAGATGTGGCTATCTCATAAATCCTTAAAAATAGATATAATTTTGCCACTTGGTTAAGTAAAACAATCTTTTGACAAAAATTAAACAAACAAACTCAAATTTGCTTTTGTTTCCAGCTTAACTATGTTTACCTACCTTTCACATATGCTTATGTGAAATTCTGCTTAAACTAACAGTAACTCTCCTTGTTTGTTTAATTTCCATAGGAGGACATCCCCCGCCAGCTTTATTATATTTGCCTTTATGTTGTCCACATCTCTGGTGCCTATATATTAAAGTAAGTCAGAGGGGTAATTATTTGCTTTGAGATTTTTACAAGAATACCTTCATTAAATCAGTCCTATGATCTCTGAGCAGCTTCTAAAGAGATAGTTTGAAAGATTTTAGTCATGAAAGCTTAACATCTGGACAATAAGGCTGCTGACTGACACTAATCTGCTCTCTGTAATTAATTACTTAGGAAGTTGTAATAGTTGCTCCGTTACTCCGGTACCCTCTTCTCCATTCAGGTACTAGGCCTGTCACGATAAATCAATTTGCTCGAACTGTTGAACAAACATTCATGTTGTTTCCGATGTCCGCTGGACTTCGGGTTGCGCCGTGTCAGCTGTTCGGGATTCCCTCCGTGTTTCCCCTCAGAAAGCACGAGGAGAATCCGCGCTTTCTGATTGGCTACCGGTCATATTCAACGGGCTGCTTAAGCTTCCAGTCTGGGCAAATCCTGGATTTAGATCGGAGCGGCCACGAGGAAATACCGTAACACACAAGGGACAATCTTAGAACGAATAACGTTCTAAGATTGTCGTTCGGGTTAAAAAATCCTGTAGTTTGAACTATTGCATCATGCAGTCGGATTCTTCTCTATTTAAATCTAATTATTACTGAAGGGCAATATACTATACAGACTTCATAATCTGCACTCTTTTGGTTGAATGCAGTATTTATTTCCACTTTGACTTTATGTTGTTCAGTTTTTATTCAAGTACATTTGTTGTTAATGGAGACTGGGAATCTATTTTATTTTTGTTTTTGGTTGTTTTATTTATTTTGTGTATCAGTCCCAGTGTTAAGTGTTCTTTTGAAAGTAAAGTGTATCTATCTTTGGCAGGAAATTGCATGTATTATTACGTAATTTCCATTAAATCAGTGTAAAAAGGTCTTCAAACAATATTATCGTTTATCGCAATAATTTTTTGAGACAATTAATCACCCAGCAAAATCTGTTATCGTGACAGGCCTAGGCACTCATATTATGTTCTTCAAGTCAGGTCAGCCACCTTTTCCTGGCCTGAAGATTTCAACACCAGAAGCTTTCTAAAAGCTTTTTGACCTCAGACCTCACTGTTTCAGTCTTTGGAGTCAGTTCTCTTTGTTCATCTTCTTTCCTTCAGCATTATTGATCTCAGATTCAAGGACGCTGTCAAGCCCACTGGGTTGTTCTGTAGTTACTGCTTATGGAAGGTGGTACATTTTAATGCTTCACTTTAGATGACACGGTATCCATTAGTCCATCAGTTCAATCAACCTTCCATTGAACAATCTATTGATTTGTTCATCCAGCAGTTTGACCATTCAACCAAACATTCATCCTTTTACCGATTTGCCTTCCTGTTCATTCATTCATTCACGCGTCCATCCATCTTTCCATCCATTTGTCCATCTGCCTAAGCAAGGCGAGTTTATTTGTTTAGCAGTACTTAAAAACTAAGCAACAAAGTTTACTTTCTTCCATTGTTATCAGAATCATCACAAAATTTTGGAGTAAGGACTAAAATTTTATTTGTTTAATAAACAACTTTCCTTTTCTGTTTATCCATCAATCAAAACATCCATCTACCCCTTTGACACTCCATGTGCCAATCATCTGTCCATTCATTATCAAATTATCCATATCTTAATTTCTCCATCTCTTTTTCCGTCCATGAATCGTTGAAACAAAGACTCATCCAACTCCAGCCTTTGAGGACTGGAGTTGAATACATTTCCTTTAGTCCATCCATGCATCCCTTCCAATGCATCTGTCCATCTCATCTATTTTTAATTTGATCATTCTCCATCTGTTCATCCCTTCATCCTCAAGTTTTCACAGATTTTGTTTTCAAAGCAGGACTTCAATAAAAGGTTATTTAACTTTTGTATCGTTATCTTAAAAAGGTATCAGACAAATTCAAGTACAGAAAAGTGTGAAACTTGATCCTAAAAAAATGGGTTTGAACCCAGAAGTCGAGTTTTCCGTCTTTCACTGAAAGTTTTCCGTCCCTGTTTGTTTTTCAGCCTCCACCGACTGGGCCTGGTGCTGCTGGTCCCTCATTACCTGGTCGAACTTTTGTTCCACGCTTCACGCCTTTTCTACTTCAGTGACGAGAACAAGCAAAAAGGGTATTTGTTTTATTCTCATTAAGTTTTTTTTAATATAGATTAATGGTATTTAACAATATCATTTATTTTTGGTTCTAGTTTCACCTTGTGGGCGCTGCTTTTTGTCATTGCCCGCCTGCTCACCCTCACGCTGTCAGTGCTGACATTTGGCTTTGGTCTGCCCCGTACGGAAAACCACGGTTTTTCCTTGGCAGAAGGCAACTTTAATGTGCTCACCGTCAGGTATGCCCAAGAAAAAGCTCTCAGTGCTTCAGTGTATACTCAGCAAACTTCCAGATGGGAGTAAAATAAAGTAAACTGTATCCTCTCAGGATGACCTGCCTATCAGCCGTCTGTCTGACGCAGGCCTGGATGATGTGGAAGTTCATTAATTTCCAGTTAAAAAAGTGGCGAGAGCACAGCCAAAATCAAGCATCAAAGAAGAAGACAGTGAGCCCAAAGAGCAAGCCTCATAAAAGAGAAACTATCAAGGGTAAGTCTGCACAGATGCAGTGTTTCCTGCTTGCTGCAGCGCAGCTTACCTGCTTTAATTACTAATTCTTCACTCAACTTGTCTTGATAGGAGGAGCTGCCAATGGAGTTGTCAAGTCTGAGGATAAAATGTCACCACGAGCAAGAAAAGTCAAAGCTTCATAAAATCAGACAAGCTTGGAGAGATGAGAAAATAATTTCTGATAATGTGACATTACAGGTGGTTTCAGGCTGCAGGAACCTTTTTAATAGTTCTCATAACAGCGTAAGGTGGATTCCTCTCTTTGTTTATATTTGTGCTGCAGGAACCATGGCCTCTTTGCAGAGCTACTTTTAATGAGTGTTTTTAAGATCCTGCGACAGAATATAAGCCCTCCGTATGCAATCGGGGACATAGGTGGCCCAGTTGCATATAGATTGGTAGTCAGTTGTTCACTTGGTCATTATCTGGTTTTTAGAAACGCCTCAAACTGTACATAACAAATTTGAGAACGTTCACCAAAATAACAGAAGTTAGGTCCAGTCTTATCTGACTGAGAGAATTTCTCAATAAAACATGCAGGAAATTCAGAATTGCAGAAAGAAAATCCAAATTTACACTCATGATGGTGTATCAGGTAGAGAAGCAAGTGGCAAAAGTAGACTCAACATTTTAAATACTTAATTTAGATAGAAGTTTTGAAACCTTAAACTTACAGGGTTTTTTAAAGACGCTCCAGGACAGTTCACTGCTTCATCAATTCTCACACCCATTTCTTCTCCACCCACCTCAGTTATCGGGTAGAGGGCAACATATGTCCAGGAAGCATGACATTCCCTTTAGGAAGTGATACAACATCAATTCTGTCCTGATTGGTTCATAATGCTCTTATATTTTGTAAACAGACATTGGTCCTGAATCACACATTCTTTTTATGTGTTGTAAAGGAGGAGTTAAAATTTTCAATTTAATCTTGTATTGCTAATTTAATAAACATAAAATATTTAATAAATCTAAATGCTCATTCATAGCAGAGTTTAACGATACCAATATTTTAAGGACAAATTAGCGCCATATAAAATTTTGTTACTTTGTAATTAATCATTTAGGCTAGTATTTATCAACCACTCAATGTTTTTATCAGTATGATGTGACTTGGTTCTACCTTCAATTTAAAAGAACAATATTTTTATTTAGTTTTAAAAACTACTTATTTAACAAATTCATTTTTTCAGGTTCCTATGTCTTCATCTGATTTCTCACTAACTCAAAACACAGGGGTCGAGAAGATTTTCAGCTCTTTCTGGAAATCTGTCTCTCTTCACTGTGAAGAGAGACAGATTTAACATTACAGTTCTTACCTTTGTTAGCGGTCCAAAAAGGTTGGAGTGGGATTCAGGCAGAAATGTTTGGTGGAGCTCACAAATGGTGGATCTTCAGAAATAATTTGAATTGTGAATTTTCTCTCACCAGGTCAATTTGGCTCAACTTGGTCGAGTTGACCTGGCATGAGAGGTCGAATCAAAGTCTCAGTCATGTTCAAGATGTAAAACAATCACTGAATGACATCATACGATTTTAAATTTCAGGCAACTTTACAAAACCAGAGCCATGTTTGTCACGGAAGAGCCAGGAAATTCTCTACTCACTAAAACAATTGAATCTTCTCATAAATCCTCTAACAGGAACTTCTCAATCACACCCAAAAAAGTCTGGTTCGGCCAAAATGGAGAAGGAATGAAATGACCAGCAATTTCAGAAAACCAATGTTTTGTTTTTTTTTTTCCTCCTAACTCTGCCTAAGTTATTTAACGCAACATACACAGAGACCCAGCTCTGATTTTGTGGGTCCTTTTGGTGTGGCTTTAATTTGGTGAATGTTGCAAGCATAACTGACATTGCCACAATGATCGTCTGGCAACTGCTATGCAATCACTATTTTTTTTTTCTAGCAGTGCAAATGCAAGCAAAAAAAAAAAAAAAATAGAAGTTGTATTTCTTATTACTTTGCTGAATGGGGGATTCCTAAAGCTATAGGATCTCCAAGAGTTCTTAGAAAAGTTTGGTCAGAAGAAACATTGTTTCTTATAAAATCTAAAAATGCATCTGCTGCTCTTGTGGGAAAATGAAACATTTTTGCACACTAAGAAACCTTTATATGAATCCCCCTCTGGGGTTGAAAAACCCCCTTTCTGAAAATTTCAGTGTTACTGTGAGCTGCAAGTGTTCATTGTTCGTTCGGGTTTGCTGAATGGGGATGTTGTCTGGGCACGGCTGGTTTTGACGCTTTAACATGATGGATTTAGCTATTTGAAGTGTCCTTTTGTGTAAAACAGCAATCACTCCTTGGAAAAATTTTTTAAAACGGAGTACTTCTTCAGTAATTTCACATGGAATCCCTTCATAATTCCTTACAAAGCCAATACTTGACTTCAGGGGAACATAAAGTGTTCAGTGCACAGATTAGCAGCACAGGGTGTCATTTTAAGTGTTGGTCTTGTTAAACATTCTGCTGTTTTCCAGGAAAAGATGCAAAATAAAATACGAGAGGCAAATATTTGTGAACAACAAAGCCTGTGCTGAACTGTCAGAACATTTACTGCCATTATTTGACGGCCTCTGCCATTGAAGTCCGACATGTTTCAGGATTGAGGCATTTAAATATTTCAGCCACTACTCTGGTATTCTGACTTGTGATGCTGTATTGTTTGTATACAGTTAAATCTTTATATTGGCATGATGGAAATTATGTTTGCTGAGGATGCATTTTGGTCTTTTCTATGGCAATGCATGATGGTTTCAGGCTAAAGGCTTGTACGGCTAGTTCCTTGTGCTGTTGAGTTTGCATCTTTTACATACTACTACAAACACACAAACATTAAGTGACCTTTTTTAACAACTGCTGCAAGATGTTTCAGTTATTTATTTTTGTCATAAACAACAGAGTTATTATTTTATATGCTTTTAAAAGCTATAACCAGCAAACACAGTGGTACATAGCAACTGCATTTAATCAATCCAAACAAAACAATCTTTCTTCAAGTGTCCTTACAAATGCTGAGGGTTTATTTCACTTCTTCTGTTTGCGTTTTTTGCAACCCTTTGGTATCAGGGGACAAGCTATTTACCGCTCACACCATAACTTGCGTCCCATGGTTCAATGGGAGGTGTGTTTGTGAGGGACTGTGTTTTGTATGCGTGTGCACTTGTTCTCGTGCGTGTAAAGTGTTGTTTAGCTCGTAAATTATAACTGGGAATGATGGTTTATTGCTTGTCTTGTTCAAAGGAAAAAAAAACATGCCTGTGTGCAATCTGTTCAATGACTCCTGGCTGTTGTTGGATAGTTTTTGTTATTTCTGTCTTTTCGCCACCACTTTTTATCTGTCCTGGTATGACTTGCCTAAGGCTACCAAAATGCTGTGTGTAAAAACACTGAATTGTGGATTCTTGTTTTGTTTTTGTTTTTTTGGTTGGTGCGATACTAAATGCTTCTGTGTTTAATGTGTCTGCCCTGCCACTTGGGGCATGCTCTTGTCTCCCTGCTTCGCCTTTTCAATGATCCTGGCATTGCCCATGCACTCTTTATGATCGTGGATAAAGTTTCTGTGCACAAGATGTCTTTTCCCAGGAAAGTCTGAATTAAATGGCTACTAATAGTTTAGAGACTGAGATTGATTGGTTATAACAGCCATGAATATTCCATGGTTTCAAAATATTAACACACAAATGTTAAACATGCTCTATATGCTTTTATTTTAAAAACAAAAGCAACAATTATTCCTCCTAATTGTAAAATAATATATATTACATTTATTTCAGTCTTGATGAAACATACTTTTGTATGGGTGTTTCTATGATTTTTTTTTTAATAATAAACTTTTTGTGTCCTTCATATAACATACATATTGTTATCTAGTGTTGATCTACTGTCTGCAGTTCCACTGTTTGATTTCCATGCCATTTTCTAAAATTTAGCCTATGTAGTTCCACAAAACTTGAGCTAGTTTACAGAAGTTGTTTGTTGATCATTTGTTTAGCGTTGACGCCTTTTCTCCCCCATGGCGTTCTGCTCACAACGGGGAACAATGACATTATGTTTTACAACTCCAAAAACAGTATTTCTGAAGCAGGAGAAAACATTTTTCTGAGTTTGTCTTTTGACAATTTGCAGGAAACCCAACGAAATGTTGGGGCAAAGATGCTAGTAGCTTAGCAATTAGCTAACTATGCCAGAAAAAACCCCACATCAGTAAGAACCATTATGTTGAGTCAGAAAAAATGAAAAAGTTGCTTATTCAACATGATGCTTTGTTAGTCGCAAAGCTTTCTTGGTCAATTCTGTCGTTGCAGGCCTACAGTCACTGTGACAAAATAATTGTCGCAAATCAGAAATTGGAGAATACTAAGAACAGTAGAAACTAAAGCATCCATAATGTTAGTTAGATCTAATTATTCATTTCTATGTTGTTTTACATTACTTTAAAGCTACTGGGTTTGGAAACATATGTATTAAAATTTGATAAAGCCTGAAGCAGGGACTAAATGACTATGTCTGTTCTTATGGAGATTACCACAATTTTTCAGTAGGTTTGAATTAGTTTGTCAGTTTTCTGACTAGTAAATCTGATTTTGATCACAACTTGGTAATTTTCTCAGCTATGTTTTACATTTCAGTTAAGACACTTTACTACATACATATCTCTTTTTAAGATAATTATTTACAGTTTAAATATTTCTCCTAGGAGTAAACAACTAAAGCTATTTCGTTTTAAATAGATTAACTTTTTTTTTTCAACTGCAATTAGAGCAGCATGTCCTCTAATTGCCTCATCCTCCCAGATGACTTACTTTTTTTTTCACAAAAATATCAAATCTCATTGTTTTTCTGGAAGCAAAGGGTTGAAACAATTCTTGTCAAAATTATCAGCAATCAGGACATCCCTAATTATTAGGTATGTTTATGTTATTTATATTTATTTAAATTTTACACTAACCTATGTGAAAATATGGTCTAAACACTGGTAGCATATGGAGTATAACAAGATAGTAAATTCGTTAAGGTCTTTCCTCCAGTAGCAAATTAACTGTAGTTTCCCCACCATGGATGAAAAACTACAAATGGCTAACTAAGGGAAAGTAAAACTGGAGCACAACAATATGTTGTGCTATAATCAGCCACTGAAAACTCCAGTAACTCCAGACATTCATCTGGCATCTTAATGAAAGGTCTTAAAATCTTAGGAAGAGTATGATGGAAACTTGTGTGGTTTTGAAACTGTGACTTTTTAAAACCTTGGTTTCCCGAAAACTGCGTACATGGAAGAACACGAGGATCCAAGCTTTAGCAACTTGGGGGTTTTGGTTGCCTTTAAGAGCAATTTGTGTAACATTTATGTGGCATTGTCAAGGGAGAAAAGGAAGAGCAGTGGAGTTATGTACCAGCCTCTTATTAAACTATTTTAGAAGCAACATATTTTAAAAAAGAGAGAAATGTACACTGTACTTAATTATGTGTCAGATTTTTAAGCTATTTTTATAAGGGGAGGAAAACTGTTCAAATTGACTGTTTAGTATAAGCCTGTGAATATTTGTTTTGCATCCATGTTATGAGTTGTTTGGGATATTATTTTTTAAATAGAATGACGCTTGCTGAATTGTTAAGTGTATACACATTGTGGTATGAGTGTAAACTTTATATAACCTATTGGTTTATGTAAAATCATGGCCTTATTAGAGCAAGTTGTACTCTGCTATATAACACTTAGCTGCAGATGTGCATTGCAGCTTTCACAACTACACATTTTTTATAGTTACAATGAGGTGTTTTGTTCTTTTGGAGCAGGAGTTTAGTATGTAGATTTTTTTCCTGTGAAAATGTAAAACTTCCCCCCTCATTCTGACACAAAACATTAAGTTTAAGGAGAATAATTATCGTTTATTGTGTTTGTTTCTTTTTGCATTGTGTGCATTACGCACCACAACACTGCTATTGGTGAAATTCAAACTGGACTGCATTTTCATGATTGTTGAAAACTTAAACAGAAAGCAGCAAGGAAATAAATGTATGTGGAGCCTCTCAGTCCAACAGTCTTATATATATATATATATATATATATATATATATATATATATATATATATATATATATATATATATATATATATATATATATATATATATATATTAAAACACTAAACATTAAAGAGAAACATTTATTGTACTTTCTGAACTGTACCTACTCGTACCAGTTTTTTTTTTTAATTTGCAGCTTAGTAATAATGTTTTTGTACATTTTTCTTTTGAAATATGTCACTTCTGACCTTCTCTGAAAATATATATATATAGATATAAATATATATTTATGCAAACTGTTGCTTTTTTTTTTTCCTGTCACTTTTTTTATTTCATGTTTGAATAAAGCTTTTGTTCACTATCCAAAACTTGAATGTATGTTTTTAGCATAATTTTGTCTGATCTCTTCAACAGGAACTTGATGGAAGAACACACAAAATGCACAGAAAATTATGATAACTGCAAACAATCGTTTTTAGAATGGACCAATATATTCTGTGCAGGAGACACTCTTGATGCATTTGCTGTGAAGCCCTGATAAACTAGAAAACATTTGATAGTACATATATTTTTGCTTTTTGAGTTATAAGTTTAAAGTGTTCATTCCTAATGTTTATGTAAATTTTAAAATGTAAATCTAAGCATAAGAACAAAACATGTTCACGCAAAAGTTTCACCCTACCACAAAGCATATACATGCACAGTAGCATATATATTGCGTCTTTGATGTAATAACTGCTGTTAAAGCCCAGCTTGCTCTGAAAGTGGATTCAGCTCATCTTCATTGTTGAGTCTGGTGTTTTTCTTTTTTTTTCTTTTTTTAAAATGTACTCCATAGATTATCTGTGGCGTTTAGGTCTCGTGAGTTTGCTTGGAAATCCAGCAAAAGGCGTCGGTACCTTTGGAAACATGAGTAGGCGCCAAGTCCTGCTGGAAAATGAAATCAGCAGTTTCATGAAGTTGTGAACAGATGGAAGTATGAGGTGCATTGGACCAAGTCCAGCATAATGACACACCACCCTAAATTATTACCGACTGCAGAACATCCACTGAATCTTGAATAACTTGTGAATATGTCATTTCATGACTGATTCTTTCCCAAAGTATCAAGGACTTTGTTTCACAGTCCTCCCCAGTTTCTGCTATCCCTTGTCGCTTGTGTACTTTTTTCTTCCATTCAATTGTCCCTTTAATACACTTTGATTCATCCCTCTGAGAACATTTGCTGCTTTGGCAATGACCTTCTGTGACCTCTTTGTTGGACAGCTGTCAAGTTAGCAATCTTCCTCATGACTGTGGGGCTTAATTTACAGAATGAAATTTCTCATTTATTCATTTTAAGCAATGTTTATGTTGTCAGAGTAGGAAAATGTTTGTCTTTTATTAACTAAGCCATAGATAATAGATATTTATCTTCAACACTGCAAAAGCATAACATTTCAGCAAGCTTTTTTGTTCTAGTTTCTAGTGAAAATATCTTGGAATACTTGAAATAAGGCAAAACTAACTTATACATAACTTTTCAGCAAGCCATAGAAGATTGTTTTAAGTAAATCCCTAATATTTTATGAAGAACTAGTTTGAGTGGCAGATTACTTCACTTACAAGACAAGTTTCCCGTGTTATAGGTGAGTCATTTTTAGTCAATATTAAGAAATTATTGCTGAAAACCAAGCTTCAATATGTTTTGAAAAGGAGTTTGTAAGTTGTTGTTTTTTATTTCATGTGTACTAGACACTAGACATTACACTTTACACAAAATATTGGCAAGATTTTGTGTTTTTAATATGAATGTATGTAAAATATGGTTGTATTTACAAGTTTCACATTTTCAGCAGAATTGCTGAAATATGTTTTTGATGCAGCTGTATTCCAGGATGTGTCGACCTTTGCTTAGGATGTGGAATGGGTTTAAAAGGTCAGTAATTGAGAAGGAAAAGTGGACAGCCGTCTGTTTGTTTTACCTAAATACCACCAGGGGGCAACGCGGAGCTGCTTGCCTGAGGGACAGAGGCAGTCTGAGGGCATGGCTGCAAACAAACCTGCATTAATAAATCAGTACACAGTGGCAGAAAGACAGAAACATTGTTTTATGAAGAAATATTTTTGCACATCACCCTCACACAGACAGAAGGGCCAAAGAAGCAGCAACAATGGTCTGAAAAATATCTTAATCTGGATATAATCTTGTTTTTCAGGCAGAAAATTTACGCCTTCCTGTTTTTTGACAGGTGGGGCATTGGAAATCTGACATCCATGAAGGCTGAAGAAGAATCGTGTCACAGACAAGAGACACCTGCAGCTCCCCGCCCAGGCATTGTGTTGTTTCAGACTAATGGCTTTTCTCCAGCCGATCAGACAGCTTGATGGATCAGAGGGAACCAGAGAGGCAGGCCGAAGCTCTGCAGGGTTAGCGCAAGGACAGGAGTTCACTAACATGCTCTCCATCACTGCACAGGCGCTCGCTGATGGCTGCATGCTAAACTCAAACATACAGTGCTGGAATATTCTCGAGGTGGTCCCAAAACACAGGAAATAAAAGTTTAAAAAGCAGGGACACAGTGAGACATTCTTCGTTTACCCCCCTCCATCCAATGAGGATAAATGTCCCGCTGAATCGTCAGTATTATGTGTAATTTCCATATAAATTAGCTTCATTAAACTGGGAGTACTTTCTTGTTTAACGAAGCTCATTTGGAATTCTGTATTTAATAAGACATGTAATCCCAGACTTGCAGACTAATAGCCAACAATTAGCAGGACAGGAGCTTGTGTGTGTGAGAGTAGGGAGAGAAAGTGAGAGAGCGTTTAATCTCTCAGAAGTATTGTAGCCCTTCAGTGTTATTATCATTGATTGTCCCAAATAGGAAAATTGGACAGCAGCTGCTTTCCCAGTCTGGTTTATTTATGGTGATCCACCGAACTTGAAGGCATAAAGATGCTCAGAACCATCCAGGTCATTTAAGGGAGAGCAGAAAAGTGAAGTGTGTGAGTGAGGTGTGCTTCAGAGCAGGTGCAGGCTGATGAAAGGGGAGGGCGTAGATGGGATGAAAACATCTGGAAGGATCTAATGAGCATTAATGAAGAGTGGCCAAAATGATTTCTAAAGATGAAATATTAAGCCAATGCTTTGATAAGAATCACAGAGGCTGGGTGATGAGAGTTTTTAAACCCATGTTTGTTGGATCCGGGAAATAAAACTCCTACATCACAGGTAAGAAGCAGAAAGGTGGCAAAAGAGGCAATGTTCAGAGTCACGGGTAAAAACAATTTCATTTTGCAACAAAGTTTTATCGGGTAGATCAACAAAAGCTTGTGCATTAATTGTGGAGTGCAGGGAAAAGGAAACATGGTTTTCAATTTTTAATTACAATTACTTTTAAGAATGAATATTTCAAACGATAAGCATGAATATTTATTTGTTTTAACTCACCTAAAGTGAGTTTTTCTGTATTTATTTATTCAAAAAAGAAAAAAGCAAATAGTGATGAGGTTTGAACTTTGGGCCATTCGAGCATTACTATAATTTGATCAAAACCATATTCTCGTATCTCTGGTTGTGTGTTTAAGAATGTTTGGAAAACTTCAGCTCAGCTAATTTCTACCCGAAATGCCCTGAATTCAGCATGGAGAATTAGTTTTCCCACTCAAACAGCTTTTAGCCTGTAAGTCTAAAAGTTACTATTTTGTCTCATCTAATCAAAACATCTTGTTGGTTCCTTAATTTTTTAAAGCAAATTGCAAACTGGATTCTTTATGATTTTCTTTCATTGCTGACCTTCTTCTGGCTCCTTTGAGGTGTTCAGATTATTGAATCTAAAACACACAGACACACATTATGGTTGGTACAGACAACACTCCAACTCCAAGAGATTCAAAACACAGTCAGTAATTCGCAAGTGTATAAATCAAAAAGGTAGAGGCCGAAACTACTCAGATTATATATGTTTATGTGTTTGTTAAATATACAATTTTGACTCTTCACAGCTTTAGTATATAAGAAAAATTAACAAAATATATCAACAATTAAATCCAGACTAGAGAAGAACCACTATGCACCCCAAAACATAAATATTTCAATTATATTTCCAATATTCAAATCCCTTTACAGGTCTCAGTCATTTCATATTTTAATTCCCAATACAGACAAATTTGTGTAGTGCATAACTCCAAAAATATTTGTTGACATAATTGTTGACAATTTACCAGCTGTGACTTTTGAAGGTTGCTGTTTGCTTTGGAAAGTATATTAAAGTTAAGAGGGGACTAATTTCAAATTTACACCACACTTTTCAGATTTTGTATTTGTAAAAAAAAAAAACATATTGAAAACCATCAATTTCTTGTTACATTACAGTGCCACCCGACTTAATGTTGTTCTATCAAATAAGATGCTAATAAAAGGCATTAAAACCTGTCTTTTCAAGTTGACTAAAAATGTGAAAAAGTAAAAAATGTCAAGGTATACAAAGGAGAACAATAGAGAAAGGAATAATAGACAAAAATAATTAAAGAATGTAAGTTTAAACAGCACTGTTTTTGTACAAAAGTTCATTTATTGCAAAATGACTGGGAATAACTCATTAAAATGCTAATTTAAATGTTAATCTGCTTTCAGAGCTGGATTTATATGATGGAAAAGAAACATTAGCCCTGCCACAGAGCTATGAGTTTTGTAAATATTCCCTATATGATTTGCTGAATAATTGTGAAGTAGAAGAAAATAAATGCCTCCAGAGGTTCACAAATTTATATATGAACCTCTGGAGGCTGAAAATTTCCCAATTTTCTTTGTAAAATAGCTCAAACAGCTCAATTTTCACTTGTTCAAACTATTTTCATACAGCATTTTGATCTTAACTCAATACTTGGCCATCTCATAACATTTGAATTTTTATTGAATAACATTTTTAAAAGCAATCATGCCCCAAAACAGGCACAGAATGAATATATATTGAATGCCAGCAGATAAAAACAGATCAGATTATGCAAATGCACGATGCTGTTTTGTTAATCAGATCACCAAGAGGTTTTCATTGGCCTTTTCAATCTGATTTAACAATAAATCTTATAAAGCCAGATCAT